AAAAAAGGTGGTCGAATGTGGCGAGGAGAGGTTTCCCGTCCGTGTTCATTCTGGGCTGGGCTCAGATGGATAGAATCTATTTTGTATGGAAAGATACCCTTTTTTCTTCACACTTTTTCTTTTGTTTCATAGATATTATCATAATAATTGAGGGCAACTGTACAACATCTACATCTGGCGAAACTGACTGAGCTCGTGAGTCATGACCACTCCCACTGCAAAGAGATGTGCTCGTGTAAGCCGGTCTGCCAACCACGTCAGACAGCGGCGCAGACAACTTACTCATCGGCCCTGTTGATCGGGTCAATGCGATGAGTAAGGCTTAGAGGACGTCAGGCTGCATCGACCTGCATCGACCTGCATCAGAATCCCACTGGGGGTGGTGTGAAGAGTGTCAGGTAGCATCCAGGACCGCAAGTAGGTCGAGAGGGAGGGAGGAAACGGTGCGAGCCGTCCCTTGCGCGAAGGCACCCCTCTTGGTACCTCTCCCCTCCGAGGTACCAGGATTTGCTGGCGATCCACGGCAGTTCTCCATGTACCCACCTCGGTAGCGATACTTCCCCCAACGGGTGGTGGGTTGCGGGGCGGACTTAACTGCGACCTTGCGGCTGCGATTGGTAACTTGCTGGGGAAAGAAAGAATCTCTTGGACTTCAGCTGCGAGTTTTTCTTCTTACGACTGAGGTTTCTTCTTTTTCTTTTTCTTTTTTTTTTCTCTTCTAGGCGAGCAGTTGCCGCATTGGCCTGGAACACCGGTTTTGAGAAGCGCAGTCGCCCGCCTCACTACGAGACCTACCTGCCTCTGCTCTCCAGCTTAGATGGACTACCGGACGGGGCTCCTCTTCGAGACTTGATAGTTTCTCGCTACAGCTTGAATTGATGGTTGCTTCTTCTGGGTCCACACTTTGATTTCTTTTTACTCTTCGGTTACGATCCATCTCGCGCGTACATGCCATATTTCGAACACCCATCGCCTCCGTTGTTTCGGCACTGCACCTGGACGTGACTCGTCGTATCTGTCGCCTCCCGTACTAGCCCGGGGTGCAATTTACAAGAAGGGACACTCGCTACCAGCAGTTAAATAACCCAGCATGATCGTTTCTATGTATAGATGGCTTTTTCGGATTTTCCGACGTGTCAATGGCCAGTTTAATTAAGAGTCCTACCGGTGGGGTTCCGCTAGTTTGGTTGTCCTGGAACCAGTTTTGCTTTTGATTGCCGCAAGGCTGCTTGGTGTAATTGCCCCTTATCCCCTTTTTATGCCCCCCTTGTGCAAATTCCGCGGAACCGTATTAGCATGGGCTATTGAACTCTCAACCGAGTCATGGGGAACGGGGGGCTCCATATATGCGTGCAGCGCCAGGACCAGACCACCGGGTCTACTAACATTGGGTGGACGTTTTCTTCTTTTCTCGCCAGGGGGGGATTTTACACGAGTCGGGGGCTGCCCGCTATCAATGGCTCTTCGTCCCCCTGCTCGCGATCGACAGGCTGATTTTGCCTTTGCGCATGCACTTTATTTTCTTTTCCCCGACAGGCGAGACTTTGGGAAAAAAAAGCAAGTACGGCAGGAGATGTGAGAAAGTGAGAAAAGTGATAAGTGACAGGATGAGGTGTGGGTGGCTACCTATTCAGGCAGAGACATTGAAAACGCCGAAGAAGAAAAGAGGAGATAACAGACACAAAAAAAACAACAAAAGAAACGTAGGGGGGGAAAGTTTTCTTGAAGCGAGATCAAGGAAACAAAAAGGCGGGTTCGGCGGCCCCCATGGCCCATCCTTGAGGAATCAGGACTAACACCACATGGGAGTGGAGGAAAGTGGCAAGAGAGAAGACGACGCGAAGGGATCTCGAACGTCTGGTTGCCCCGATGATCAGCTCGCCTCGGCGCCGGACGGCCTTTTGGGATCCCAGCCGGGCTAAACTAGGGGGCCTGGGAGTTGCTCGTTCCCCGGATCTCCCTTCCCACGAATCCGGGACCGCTATCGACAGTAGGTACATGCAATCTTGCGACGGGTGGGGTGCTGGGAAGAAGAAGAGAGAACTACCAGAGCCCCGGTGTGCTTTGTACGCCTATTTGAAAAGGGGGGTGTATGGGCAGGAAGAGAGATTGATTATGCGTGTGCGTTGTGCGCCTGCATATGTTGTGTATCACGAAGAGACATCAAGTATTGTGCAATCTTTATGATGGAATTATTCACTAGGAACCCAGGCTAACCATCCGGCAACACAATTGTATCCAAAGTGACGGCGGGGTGGTCCTCTGTTGGAATGCCATCGTCGGCCACAGCTCGCTTGGTTGGCATCTCGGGCGGCACATATCGTTTCTGCCGTGTCACTTTTTCTCTCTCTCATCATATGATTGACATTATTGACGGCCCCGCACCAGTACCACCGAGAGCTGGCCGAGCCAGATTTCCTTGTACGGAGAGGCCGGCGGTACTAGGGGTTGATACGGATGTTGGTCTTCCTTGGCTCAGACCTCGCTATAGACGTCTCTGTACATGGTTCAAGATGATGTTAGACCGTGAACTAAACTGAGAACTGACGGGGCGTCGATGATGGTGGTGAGGGGCATAGCAGAGAAATCAGGGAGAGACAAAAGGTGTAAACACAGAGATCGAGAAAAGAAAAGGCACACATGAGACACTCACATCCTTCGGAGCAGCGGCATCTCTCTCCTTACTCGGTCAACCTCGTCCAGGTCCACGTCAAAGAAGCCAATCTCCTCGACCGCGCCCTCCTCCGCGCTCCCCTCCGCGTCCGTGACACCCTTCAGCCGCACCGCTACCTTGCCCCAGGGATCAACGGCGATGCTCCGTCCATAGCTCGCCCGCTTGGGATTGTGCCTCCCGACCTGCGCCGCGGCCACGACCCAGCTCTGCGTCTCGATGGCGCGGGCCCGTAGTAGAGTCTCCCAGTGCGCCTCGCCCGTCCGCAGGGTGAACGCGCTCGGGTACGTGAGCAGCTGCGCGGGGCGTCCGTGCCAGCGGCTCGGGGGTCCTGGCTGCGCAAGGGATAGCGACGCCTCGGGGAATCGCAGATCGAAGCAGATCAGGCTCCCGATGCGGCCGACCGGCGAGTCGAACGGGGCGGTCAGCCTGCTCCCCGGCTGCACCGTGGCGCTCTCCCTGAGCGATCCGTAGTCGAAGACGTGGAGCTTGTCGTACGTGTTGCTGTCATCGATCCTCCCATCAGCTGCGATGTAGATGGCCCGGTTCAGGATTCGGCCGGCCGCCGTCGCCTTGGAATCCTCCTTCTCATCCGGCACCTGCGCTGGAACTGGTCGATGGTGGATGCCGACGTGGATCGCGACCCCGTTTGTCTTGGCCGCCTCCTGCAGTCCGAGCACGAAGGGAGACGAGGACTGGGCGACGGCGAGGTCAAGCGAGGCCTGAGCGTCGGTAGCGATGTAGTCTGAGGCTTCGGGCAGAAACAGGACCTATTCGAGCGACGAGGACCGCAAAGGGCCGTTTGTGTGAGACCATGGGAACCAAATCCAAGACAGCGAGACAGGGGAAAAAAACTTCCGGAGATCTGACATCGCAATATGACACGGCAAGATCGGGGAGGGGTCATTGAGGCTCGTTCTCTCACCTTTGCCCCTCCTCGGGCTGCTTTCCCCACTAGCCTCACACACTGCTCCAGGTTTCCCTTGATTGACGCAGTCGAGCAGATCTGGCCGATAGCCTATGTTTGGGTGACTGACTTTTAGCCAAAGTCTTTTGAGACAGGACCGAGACCCTACGTACCGCGAGAGTCATGGTGACTGGCGAGGGCTAAGCGTCACTTCTGCACCGTTTGGATAAAACAACCAAGCAACTGACGCTGGTTAGTCAGGCACAAAGGCTGACGCAAAGTAGGGGGTATGTAGTGGCGGAGGACCCTGAAAAAGAGTAAAATACCTGTGAGTTGGGTGTGATGAGACAACTGGATGAACCCAGCCTGAGAAAGTGTACCGATGTCGTGAGACCAATACCACCAACACTGCTATCTTCTGCACACCAGGGCCTCCGTAGCAATGACGAGGGGTCGTTGTATCGTCAGAGGAATTGGCGATATGTCGTTAGCCCTCTATCGTTTATACGACGTTTTGACTTGCGTCCTGATAAATGGCTCGTTCTATCGTTGATAGTTGAAGTTGGGACTGGCTGGCCAATTAGTAAGCTGGTATTGCATCATTTAGCACTGCTCTGAGCTCAGTGAAGCTATAGTATAGCTCCTCACATAAATAGATATATTCCTCAATTGGCATCTACTTATAGACATTTAAACGGGAAAGTGGAATAGTTGAGATAGAGTTGTCCTGGCGTAGGAGTAGAGCATATGTCCACGGGACTTTTCAGACAGGCAATTCGGTTAGACATACAAGCAATCAAGATTCGGAAAGAATACCGCCTCGCTTCGTCCAGCTCAACATCGTAGTTTGTAAATTTACGCAGGACTTGGTGTTTCATTCCCCAATGGCATTTTCTAAACTAATTGCTTAGAGATACCACCTTGGCACTCCGGTCAGCCTCCGCCGATGACTTGCAACCAACCGGTAAAGCCCATCCCACCGCCTGCGATAAGTAAAAATCGATCGCTGTGCCCTTGGTCAAGCATAATGAAAACCACTGTCCATTCTGATCGTCCATCATCGTTCTCGGTGCTCGAGGCCATCGCGGCGGCGAGACTCCATCCTCCTCCTTCCCACCTCGTACTTGTCTGCTACCTCTCTCTCAAATTCCCGTTGTAGTGCTGTCCCCCAACAATGCAAGATGGCCCAGAATAAAAGGAACCCTTCCCAAAAATGCTTCAATAAAAGAAAGCTGAACGCCGGGCTAATCGATGCCACAATCGACCACGTTGAAACGAAAAGAAAAAGAAAAATTAAAAGTCACATCAATACACGGCACGAGATACCCTGCCCTTCTATGGGCGATGGTAAGTCTTGTCGACCATCCTCGTGCCAAACCACCGTTCGTTTTTCCGCCGTGTTCGACCCCATCCCCCTTTCTTTTATCTGGGGCCGGACATGTCTAAATCAATGTATGCCTTTTGGAGCGCCTTTGTCTCGCGCCCATCTCTCTCCAGCACAGATATCCAATCTCGAAGCTGGATGTTTCTGCCCTTCTCCTTGTCTTCTCGCCAAGTTCCTAGACGGTTGCGGCCTTCCGTCGTTAGAGCTACATTAACGGGCCCTTGGTTGGGCCCTAGATTGGCACCTGGCTTCCCACCACCAGATGATGCTCGTGGTGTGCTGGCTCCGCTTCCTCCACGACCAACATTCATCCAGTCGTACGTTTTCCCCTTTTTCTTGTTACCGAAGAGGCTTCCTCCTTTACCGAAACCGGTGAACAAGGTGCTGGTCATGTTCTGGTTGGCATGGTTGTTGGCTTCGGCTGCCTTGGCTGCTTGAGTTTTCTTCAGTTCCTTCTTCGTCATCGCCTTGTCATTTTCCGGCGCTACGGAGCCTGGGGTGCCTGGAGCGACACTACCGGCTCGCGAACCCGCAGCTCCGGCGTCGGGGATGCCATCCTTGCGCTTCTGGCGCTTTCGAAGTCTTGCCTCTTCCCATTCTCGCTCTTGCTTTGCTAGATCTCTCATCGTGATTGTCATGTATGACGCAATCTTCGCATACTTCTTCGGTTTAGCGGGCTTCACTTCACTCGAGGGATCCGCAGGGCCTGGTTGGTGTCAGTATCATGATAGCTAAGCGGAAATGCAACACATACGCTTGAGGGGGTTGGTGCCGAGGTCAGGGGCACCGTCAGCCAGCGCTGGCTCCTTATCAAGCTGCATCGACTCGGGGGTCTCCAAATTCAGTGGGGCGGCAGCAGCAGCCCATTCCTCTGGCACATCGCCGTGCGACGTCTTCTGCCGGTGTGTCGCAACAGAATTGGCATCATCCACAAGGTCCCGTAGTCGCACCTTAGTTGCTATAGATAACAAAGCCAGCTGGTCCACCAGGAAAGCGTCGTGCGGAATGAAAGAGCCAGTCGTGTGCACCATGTGAGCATCCGGCCCTGTCTTGGTTGTCACCGTGACTGATGGCTCAGGGAACTGGTTGGGAAGCTTCATACGCCCCATTTGCTGATTCATGTTCCGCAGGTCAAGGTTGAGTTTGAGGGCATGTTCCCTAGCAATTTTCTCTGCTCTCCTGTGTAGCAAGGCGACGAGAAGAAATGGATCGTTGATTTCCTGTGTTCGTTGCGCGCCTATGCGCATAGCAGACTCAGCCCACGCCCTCTCCGCTGCTTGGGCAGCGTATTTGTCTTGGTCCGTTTCCGTTACCGCTAGGGCAGGCTGGTTTGCAGGGCCTGCACCATAAAAAGTTGATTTAGGGCCTGGCGCATGCTGTGGGAAGCCCGATCGCGCTTCCGCATCAAAAGAATTCGCGTACATGTCTGACATGAACTGTTCCTCTGCCCTCAAGTCGATACCAGTGCCGGCAAGCGAATCTGTAGGATCATATTCATATTCCTTTGTTGGTTTCTCGGCCGGTCGTTGCGGCGGGCCCATAACCCCGGCCATGCCTTGGGGCGGAGCGATGGGGGTATGGATCATAGGTACCATCGGTGTGCCGGGCGTGTACGGTGTTGTAGGAGTTGTTGCAGATGTAGGTAACTGTGGTGTCGGCATAGGTAGTGATGTCTGCAGTTGGGGTGTCTGAAGCTGAGGCGTCTGTAAAGGTTGAGGCGTTTGTAGTTGAGGTGTCTGCAATGGCTGCGGCGTCTGCAGAGGAGGTGTTGCGCTCGCTCGAACATCTGGAAGACTCAGAGCCGGTGTGGTGTTCCCATTCACGTATGGCGAGCCTGCGCCAACTACTCCTTGTATCACCGGGCTTGCCATGTTAGCTGGTGACGCGACGTTTCCAGGCGGGGTGATTCCGGCGGTCGGGCTCATCGCATAAGGAGAGTTGGGGAACGGCGAATTAGGTTGCGACGGAGCGGCGTCTGTTAAAACCCGTTTGTTGGGCGGAGGGGCATAAGCTGTCTGCGAACCGGCAGGAGAAGGACTATGCTGAGGAGGCGAGAAGGCCACCGGCGGAGCCTGCGGCTGTGGTTGCGCCATGACTAACAGCGAAAGCGCACTTGGTGCAGGAGAAATTGAAGTACGCAAGGGCTGTCGGAGGACCTCGAGCGCGTGGACTTTAGCAGGCTCCCAAGCCTGCTAGGTCGGGAGAAACTTCGCCCATCCGATGAGCTCGGTGATCGTGGAACTTTGGTATAATGTACGTCGCGGTTGATGCGACCCTTCGCAAGTGAGTGGCTGACAAGGAAAGGCGTTGCTCGATGTTGGGTCTCGTTGCGTTCTTGATAGTATACCGACGACGGATGTGCAGAGGAGAGAGCTATGTTCAAGAGGAGAGAGTCGCGTAGAATTTAATATCACGTGACACATTGCTGCCTACACCGGCCATTGTCGCGTCACCCGAGAAATAACCGGTTTGCCCAAGCACAATACTGGGGCCTATCAAAAGCCCGGAACAATAGAGGTCAGCTTTTGATCTTGCGCCTGCTTGCAGCTCAGACCAGTCATGAGAAAACCAATCCCATTGTCCAGTTGGGATCAATAGGACTCGACTCCCAATTGGCAACCTGGACTCCTACATCACTTTTTTGATACTAATGTTGCAAGACTTAGGATAGGATAGGCGTCAACAGGAAGAATGGCGTCCAAACGCAAGGCTTCGGCCATGAACGCGACCGCGAGCGAAGACCCCGTAGATCCGTCTGATGAGCTTATGTTTTTATGCTTGGGAGGAGGCAACGAGGTTGGGCGGTCGTGCCATATCATCCAGTACAAAGGAAAGACAGTGATGGTAAGCAGGTTCCGAGGTCAGAAAGGGTTCAGCAAACTCGAGTGGTCTTCTTACAACTACCGACGAACTGCGCTGACCATTGCGCTCTCTCTAGCTTGATGCCGGCCAACACCCAGCGTACGAAGGACTTGCTGCGCTTCCTTTTTATGATGACTTCGATCTCAGCACCGTAGATGTGCTTCTTATCAGCCAGTAAGCGCCGCCTAGCGATCCCATTCCCACGTTCCAAGATTACAGAAGAGGCCATATTCAGGAGGACATGTGATGCGCTTGGGTTCGCGTTTCGAGGGCTGGATATGGCGATGAAATACTTCCTCCTCGTTTTGATAATATGTCTCCCTGTCACGCGTATCTCAGATGAATACAATACTCTATTCTATACTCCTGTCCCTCCAGCGCGGCTGTTTGTGACGATGCCATATCCTGTCCCTCGAATCCCATTGCGCCTCGCCCAGTCCTCACCCAGACAAGGCCACCCCTTAGATCATGACCAGGGCTGACCAAGAGCAGTTTTCATATCGACCATGCGGCATCACTGCCGTATGTTCTGGCCAAGACGAATTTCAGAGGGCGTGTGTTCATGACCCATCCAACCAAAGCCATTTACAAGTGGCTCATTCAAGACTCTGTCCGAGTGGGAAACACCTCCTCGAACCCAACGCAGCCCCTATACACAGAGCAGGACCACCTGAATACCTTCCCGCAGATCGAAGCCATTGACTACCACACAACTCACACCATCTCCTCCATCCGCATCACCCCTTACCCTGCCGGCCATGTATTGGGGGCTGCCATGTTCCTGATAGAAATTGCAGGACTCAACATCTTCTTCACTGGCGACTATTCCCGCGAGCAGGATCGCCATTTGGTGTCAGCCGAGGTCCCCAAGGGTGTCAAGATCGACGTCCTCATCACAGAGTCTACCTATGGCATTGCATCCCACGTGCCTCGTGTCGAGCGAGAGCAGGCTCTCATGAAGACAATCACAGGCATCCTGAACAGAGGCGGCCGTGCGCTCCTACCAGTGTTCGCCCTTGGTCGAGCCCAGGAGTTGCTGTTAATTCTTGACGAATACTGGGACAAGCATCCAGAGTTCCAGAAATTCCCCGTCTACTATGCCAGTAACCTTGCGAGGAAGTGTATGCTGGTCTACCAGACATATGTCGGAGCGATGAACGATAACATCAAGCGTCTGTTCCGGGAGCGTATGGCTGAGGCCGAGGCGTCCGGCGATGGCAAGGGCAAGGCCGGGCCGTGGGACTTCAAATACATCCGCTCACTCAAGAACCTGGACCGCTTCGACGATGTGGGTGGCTGCGTTATGCTCGCCAGTCCCGGTATGTTGCAAAGTGGTGTCAGCCGAGAGCTGTTCGAGCGGTGGGCGCCCGGAGAGAAGAACGGCGTCATCATCACGGGTTACAGTGTCGAGGGAACAATGGCCCGGCAAATCATGCAAGAACCAGACCAAATTCCAGCCGTCATGTCACGAAGCCTGGCAGGTGCTCGACGCGGACCTGGTGGGGAGCAAGAGAAGGTGCTCATTCCACGACGCTGCAGCGTTGCTGAATACTCGTTCGCGGCTCACGTCGACGGTGTTGAGAACCGCGAGTTCATCGAGGAGGTTTCTGCTCCTGTAGTGGTATGTGTTCATCCCTTCACTTGCGCCTGCTTTTTTATAGGTTATTTGACTTCGCTAACTCATCTTTTCTACTAGATCCTCGTCCATGGCGAGCAGCACAACATGATGCGTCTCAAGTCCAAGCTTCTCTCTCTCAACGCCTCCAAGACAACCAAGGTCAAGGTCTACTCCCCCCGCAACTGCGAGGAGCTACGCATCCCCTTCAAGTCAGACAAGACCGCCAAAGTCGTCGGCAAGCTGGCCGCCATCCCCCCGCCATCCGCCGACACCGCCAGCGACGCCTCCATCACGGACCTCGACAAGTTCCCCCTCGTGTCGGGCGTCCTGGTCCAGAACGACTTCAAGCTGTCCCTCATGGCCCCCGAGGACCTGCGAGAGTACGCCGGCCTCAACACGACCACAATCACCTGCAAGCAGCGCCTGACCCTCAGCGCCGCCGGCATCGACCTCGTCAAGTGGGCGCTGGAGGGCACCTTCGGCACCATCGAGGAGCTCCCCGAGATGCGCAACGCCCAGCCCAACGGCAACAACGACGAAGAAGCCGAAAAGGCCGACGAGGAGGTCTCGCACCTCGTGGCCGCCTACCTGGTCATGGGCTGCGTCGCCGTCCGCTACCGCTCCAACGGCGAGGTCGAGCTCGAGTGGGAGGGCAACACCCTCAATGACGGCTTCGCCGACGCCGTCATGGCCGTCCTCTTCTCCGTCGAGTCGTCCCCGGCCGCCGTCAAGCGCTCCGCCTCCAAGAACCCCCATTCTCACGACGACACCATCCCTGCCGGCGCGATGAACCCGCACACGACCGCCTCGCCCGCCGAGCGGCTGGAGCGCATGTTCTGGTTCCTCGAGGCCCAGTTCGGCGCCGACAACGTCGCGCCCGTCGAGACGCCCAAGCTCGCCGCCGAGGAGGCGACCGAGGATGCGATGGACGAGGGCAGCGATACGGAGGACAGGCAGAAGAAGGAGATTGAGCGACTGCACAAGATCGGCATCCCCGTTCCCGGGGTCAAGATCACGGTGGACAAGCTGGTGGCTACGGTCTGGCTGGAGGACCTCGAGGTGGAAAGCAGTAACAAGGTGTTTGCCGACAGAGTCAGGGCGGTCGTGGAGCGAGCAGTCGAAGTCACAGCCCCGCTCTGGGGTTAAGATGGCCAACAACATGTACACATATTCATAGTAATCCTACCTAAGCCAAGAAAATACAGATTTTATAGAATAGCAGTGTCTAAGCGGCAATATTGCAGGGACGGAGACAAGTATGAAAAGGTTGGATAACAATGTATCGGAACATAGGGACTAGCTAAGTCTACAAAAAAATAACAAGGTTGAATATTTAAAAGGGTCATTAACCCAAGTACTCGGTCAAGTCCTCAGACTCTTCCAACATACTCTTGAAAGAAAATGGCTGGAAAGGCCAGCCGTTGAATTCGGCAAACTTGGAGAAGGATTCGACCCAAGCCAGACGAAGAGAGTGCAACATGGCACTGGTACCCTCCATACACACCAGAATGGCAATGGCTGTAGTGGCACGTTAGCTTCAGTGTTTAAAACACGCGAGGATTGGGAGAAGGACATACTGAGGAAGAACCACATGTAGAAACAGATGACAATCATAATCACACCCAATGGGCCAGTGGTGGCCAGAGCATTGCCAAGTGTCATGTTCCACAGCACAACACTGAGCTGCTGATGAGCAAGGGACAAAGCCCAGAGACGGAGGTACGAGGCAGTGTGAGAAACGCAGTTCAGGCAGAATTCTGCACAAGTTAGTTAATATCTTAAAGTAGATGATGCGCGTTCAAATGACATACCGATAGTGTGAATAACTTGGTGAATCATCACCTCACTGAACTCGAACTCCTCGTGCTCTTCATCAATATTCTGGGAAATCATGGCTACACCGTCGTTTTCATCGAGGCTGTTGCCGTTGGGTCGGGTCTCATCGTCGCCGTCCAGAGCGCTGACATGAGCGGTCTCGCCGATGCCGCGGTAACCCTTCCCACGGGCACGGTTGTGCTCCCAGCGGAGGTAGTAAGGCTTAAGGAACAACAAAATAGGAACCTGGATGACTGCCAGGAGAAGCAAAGCCTTCTGCACAGCAGACTGGCCGGGGTAGAGGGGCTTGTCGATGAAACCAGGCTGCAAGAACATGTAGATGAGCATGTTCAACAGACCGGGAGGCTCGGCACCCTTGGCCTGCCAATCGACGGACCACTTGTAAATAATGCAAATAACAAGGTAGCCGAAAATTGACTGGAAGAAGATCATTCCTGGGACAAAGTTGCCCCAAATGTCAATAGGCCTCTTGAAGTGTCTTGCGTTGATGTACGAGAAGCAGAGAGAGTAAGTCATGTGAGCCCAACCCAGAATGATACTCATCTTCATCTTGTAACTGTTGCTGAAGAGAAGATCATTGTCAGTACCGTGCCATGCCCAATCCAGACCGAATGGGTATCGGTATCCGTGGTCATTGAGGGTGGCAGTAACAGTGTCGTGGTCCTTGAAGCCAGCGGGCTTCTTGAACTCCCAAGCTGAGGGGAAAACAGTCATGGACTTGGAGAAAACATCGTTGTAGATCAAACCAGTAAAGATGGAGAAGACAGCCATGACGAGTGCGATATATCGACCGTAGAAGATCATGGCGAACAATTCGAAAGTGACCTTCTTCAGAGATCGCTCCCAGTAGATCATGGCAAGCGCAGCGGCAAGCATGATGACGGCGTGGCCGAAATCACCAAACATGACGGCGAAGAGGAAAGGGAAGGTAACAATAACGGGCATCGCTGGGTTCACTTCCTGGTAGGTGGCAGTTCCGTAGGCGTTGACAATTGTCTGGAAACCCTCGGTGAACTTGTTGGTCTTGAGGTAAGTGGGTGGCTTCTTGTTGGTGCGGATCTCATTGATGATAGAGGGCACAGAGAGGCCAGCTCGGTTGGTGACATCTTGAAGGGTGGATCGGATAAGGGGAAGATCGTTGGTTGGACACCAACCCTCGGCGATCAAAGTGCGACGAGCGCGGTCGTAAGAGAACAGGTTAAGAGTGTTGTACACAGCCTTCTCCTTGGTGACCAGGACCATCCAAGCGGAGAGCGACTGGGAGATCTGGTTCAGCTCAGCCTCCAGAGTGGCCTGGGTGTTTCGGAGCACGTTCTGGACATCCTGAAGTCGGTTGTTGACTTCATTGATCTGGTCGCGGCGGAGATCGCTGTTCTCGTCGACACTGTAAACATCAGCGCCCATTGACTCGGAGATCTTGCGAATCTTGGCAAGAATCTCCCTTCCGTGAGCAAAGATGACGAAGACATTCTTGTTGATGGCCTCGTTGTTGGTAGGGTCGATGAGCGGCTCGGGAATCTCGGACTGGTTCATGTACAAGTTACCACGAAGCGTTCGCCAGAGAATACGCTCAAAGGCGCCGATGCGATCGCGGTTGATAACACCGGCAACAAAGCCAATGTTCATCCCGGAGAAGGATCGCTCGGCATCGGGGGCGGAGTGGTTGTGCTCGACGTCGGAGAGCAGGGGTGCATCGTCATCGTCCGTCGAGGCGCGAATTTCCTCCACGTTGCCGTGAGCACGGTCGAAAAAGCTACCAGCCTCACGAAGAACCCATCGCCACTCTGTGAGGTCGCCCTCTCGCTTCTTGAGTGTCTCGTAGCTGTCGTTCAGAGCAGAAATGCGCTGTTCGAGCTTCTGGCTGCGCTCGGAGAGTTCATCGATTTCGGACGTGGATGGGGTCGAAAGGCGCTCAACATCGAGGTCCAGCTTTCTGAGAGAGATTCCTGCCTTCTCCATCTGTGTATAGAAGTAGCCTGTAGATGACGATGGTTAGTATGAATGTGGGTCGAAGCTCGAAGGGGGGACACGACGCACGTAGTTGGCGCTCAACGTTGTCGAGGCGTCGGATTTCCTGGGTAAACGTGCGCTGGAAAGCGCTGACATCTTCATTGAGCTAGACGAGATCCCCGAGTTAGCAGGCTGATGAGGGGATGGACGCGATCCAGGTGCTGGGCTTACATCGCGGAACTGGCAGAGTCCCAGCTCGCCAAGAGCAGTTACAACTTCGCGACCAATTTCATTGGAGACGTAGAGCTGCACCATGCTCATGTCCGCCGAGCGGAACGGGCTGTCTTGTCGCGGTGCCATTTTGCGCGTTGCAGCACCAAGACGGGATGCTGTTGGGTGAGTGAAGCTTGCTTGTCAGGGAGTAAGATGTTGCCTGCTGGCTGGATCAATCTCTAGTTACGTCGTTGCGCAGCTCTACCCGGATTAGCGATTGTCCGGCAGGAGGTCGCGTCACGTGATTCGAGTATTACTGTCTCAGTGTGCCTGTCCGTCCCCTGACGGTGGCTGCAAGAGAGTATTTTTACTGGCATTGGCGATATTTTAGGCACTTACCTAAGGATCCGTCTATTTTTAGCCGGCTGCGCCAGCCGATTTCAAACACGGCGATGCGCATGCCGTAATACTCATCACACGCAACAACGTCGCTTGAACCGAGATTCTGTCATTTATCATTTATTTTATCTGCTTTTTTGAACTTTTCGCCTTTTTGAGTATGCGCATGAAATCAAAGAACAAGAAACTCAAGAAATATCAAACAATGCCAAAACATTTCCCTAATCCCCAGATCTGATGCATAACTCCGTGCCTGAATGAACATGGGTAGAGAACTGAATCAAAGGCTTGCTGAATGCGTAAAGACCATTTTCAAAGACGTCGTCCAAACATGAAAGATCCATACATGCCACCAACCTCGGCAACAGCAACTGGAACCTTGCGCATTCCCCAGCTTTCGGCACCCAGCTTCCACCACCGGGCACCGTTGTCCACAGTCGTACCATCCGCATTAAGTCGTACCAGCCAGTAGCGGGCACCAAACTCCTTGGCAGTCCAACCAACTCTCTCCAAGTTCTTCCTCATCTTCGCGGCCCATTCATAGGTACGCTCCTGAAGCTCAATGACGTGCAAAGGTGCAGTGTTGGGAGAAAGAAGCTCGTCTCCACTGCCAACCTTCGCTTCAATGTCAGAGAGATCGATATATCGGAGGTTGTGAGACTGCCACTCTCTATCCTTGTAGAAGAGACGGCGAATGTCGCTCAAATCAAGACCTCCGCCCACAGCAAGCTCCTCCAGCCTTTCGGCGAGAACCTTCAGCATCGGTAAGTGCGATGGATCCATTCTACTGCCCTTCAAACTCAATGATCGCAGGGTCTGCGGGAGGTTTGGTAACAGCGCGTCCACATCCTCTTTTCCAAGAAGGAGATGGCTGCTTGCGTCCGTCGAGAGACTAAGGAAAGCAAGACTGTTCGCAGTAGCAGGGTGGGAAGTGACAAACTTGATCACAATCTCAGATGTGACCTCTCGGCACTTGGCCAAGTTGAGATGAGTGATCCGTGCAGTCTGGGGAATAGACAGCAGCGCCTTGTCATTAACCCGAGTTCCCGCAAGGTCGAGATGTGTGACCTTGCCCAAGTGGGGAAATAGCTTCTCGTAAATCGAAGAGGGGAGGCTAATGCACTTGTGGAAAGAAATACGTGTCAAATTTAGAGTTTCTGGCAACTCGAGGTCCAGGACGGATCGGAAAGAGTTGCGGAAGCTCACCGAGGAGCATGCGCAAAAGTCGATCGCCTGCAGACGAGGCATATCGAGGAACAACTTTCGAAGGACCTCGGGACCTATGTCATCATCAATGTACTCCTGGGCCAAGAACTCATGCAGGTATGGGGTAAGCTCCAAGCACTGAGCCAGGGTCTCGCTAGTCAAGTTTCGCGTCTGCGCTCGCTCGCTTGCGGTAGAGAAAATGGTGGAGGGGTTAAAGTGGCTAAAGTCAAGGCGTCGGACGATCGACGCCAGGGCTGGGTATTCGGTAATAGTAGACAGGAATTTGCGGAAAATCCTGGAGTGGGGGATCGTGATATGACGATACAAAGTATTAAGAGTTGCGGCATGCAGGGACCTCGACGCCAGCAGCAAGGCCATGAGATCCGCGTTGCGGGTGGTCAACCCATTCGTAGGGAGTTCGACAACCAAAAGATCGATGATATCACCTGGGAATTGTCAGCGACTCCAACTTATCAGACTCGGCGGGGGTGCAGGGGAAACGTACCAAGAACCTCGCTGGGAAGCGTCTCCAGAGGCGACTGTCCCGTCACGTAGCTCGTCGGCATCTTCTTCTCGACAGCCGGTGTCTCGGGGGGGCTCCACGTCATGTGTAGCTTGCGCAGATCCTCAGAGCTGCGGCTCGCCATCTTGCCCTTGAGAGGGATCTCCCTCCATCCCCTAAAGTTCTCGGCTGGGAACCAGAATCCATGGAGGCGGCTGTGTGGCTGCGTGAGGGGCGGCTGGAAGGTGGGCTGTGGAATCTCCTGCGAGGGAGACTCCTCAAAGACGGCGGCATCAGCGCCGTGGATATAGGATGATACTTTGGAACGAGTGAAGGTCTGAGCCAGACCATCGTCGTTCTCGCGAACGGAGGAGAAGGACGAGCGCGCAGTCTTTTCCGAGGGCGAGATGTTTCCCATGATATGCTTCCTGAAGTTTAGTGGATGGTCGAAGTCGAGCACCATGTGCTCGCCATCGCCGTGAGAGGCCATATAAGTAGGTCGGCGGGTGCGGAGTGGCTCTTTGTGCGGTGTTCGACGGGACTAGGGCTTTGACAACGTCGAGGATGGGCCTGGGAAGCTACTGAAGTTGCATGGGACCGGATTGTTGATGGGAGGAGGTGGACAGGGAAGTAGGCGGTTTTCTATTAGTCAAGCTGGATTGACTTTATGTAAGAGAATCAACGAGGTGATGCGGGGGAGGAGCTAGAAGAAGGACGGGATGTATGGAAACAGGATCGGGGGAGGTGTTGTCTTTTGACGGAGGTTCGGGCGGCGGAGGTGGATAAGGCGAGCGAGGGACAATGGTCGTGAGTCGAAACGCTGGGACTAGGATGAGTAAATGATGGAGTCTTGTGGGCTGCGGTCGAGTCTGGGCAAAACGCCACTTGGGAGGTCTGGCCGAGGACGCAATAAGGTTGGCCTGCGCAGCAACTTGCCAATGGCACGGGAGATGGGGTGACATGCTGGGGAAGGTAATTACAGCACGCCATGATTAGCTCACTGAAGGGCGAGATTGGGTAATGGAAACAGAGGACTGGAAAGAGCCAGCATCAGGTGAGCGAAGATGTGACATGAGCCGCTCCGACAATATGGTGTTGGATTGGGGCTGCCAGGCTACGATTGGACAATGATTTGGTAATGAGAACGTGCCTGGTCGCTGTGGCCGGGACTTTGCTGGCATCCTGTGGTGGAGCCGTCGACATCGGGAGCCTCGCCGGTACGCACAGATGGTTGCGAAACGTAATGGATTGGTGGTCGTGTTCAGTAACCTGGACTAGCCGCTGCTAAACTGCGTGCGACGGGTCGTTGATGCGCGCAGGTCCTTTCCCCTTGCACGCCGCGAGGTCGCCCCTCTCGCGGTCCCTTGCCTCTGCCTGCCAGCGTGCCGGGTTGCTGTCCCCAGTCGCTTCCTTCGCTATCGATCTTGCCGGTCTTCATAACTAAGCTCTGGGCCTCGTGACCGGGTGGCGCCCGAGCTACGCAAGATTGCCTTAGCTCGATGCGCCTACCCCAGACTTTTTTCCCTTTCTACACCCTTCCTTTCAGGGTCTCTCGCCTGTCCTTGTGCCACCACCAATCTCACATCCAACCGTGGGAGATATCTCGTCGCCGCAAACTCGACTCTCGACCGCCTCGTTTCCCCTCTGCCCAACGCTGCAGCAACGGATTCATCCATTCGTCTCAGACAGACTTGACGTGGCCACATATCTGCATCGTATAAGCTTATTAACTAAGTGAGACATCATCGTCCTTCTCCTCGGAAGACTAACATCACTTCCATACCAGCCAGCTCACACCAAAAGCAACACACAGACACTGCCCCGCCATACCGTTCCTCCAAGTGCGTGCTCGGTAGTATCCATTACCATATTGCCAACCGACCTACCTTCCCCTAGTATTCTAGCCCACCCTCGTACTTAACAATTACATAACTGCAAACTCCTGGATGCCAACCACAGCCCATCTATTCCAAAAGCGCGGCTGACATTGATCGCCTCTTTTGAAGGCTGCCTGTCTCACTTGGAACGTCCTCATGGTATGATATTACTAAGAGCACCCCTTGCATCAATCACATGACGCTGTTATGTAGAAACTCCCGGACAGGAAGATGCCCGTTCCGCTTTCGGGCAAGTAGCGGTGATTGTCCTGTGCCATCATGACGCTTTTGGGCGGTTAGCCTTTTGGCTTGGCCCATTCTAAGCCCTTGCCGAGGACTGAGTCAGGTACAACGCGCATGATCAAGAAAAAAAAAACAAAAGGTTAAAAAAAAGAGAGCGCCGCAATCGGAGGGCCACCTCAGCAGCGAGGCCGAATCCCGACCGAGTTGTCCGACTTCCCCAGGAAGTTTCAGCCGAGCTAGTAGAAAAGAAGAAAGTGAAGCAAAGAAAAAAACTTGAGGCCGCGATCTTTGCCGGTGCCAGCCGCGACAAGCCTCTTCTTTGTCCTTTTTCTGCCACCGCCTTTCCATTCTTCATTGCCAATTCCCATGCTACCCCGCCGACTTGCCGGTCTGAGGAGAACATGGGAATTGGTCCAAGGATAGACATGTAAATGGGTTATAGCTATCGCCGACTCTCTTGTAATCACCGTCGAGCTCCAAACCCACCGCCCACCATAAAACCAGGCTCGTGCATATGCCATACGGCATGCCGCTGACTGCATGCGCATAAGCATGATATACGTCATTTTTCTTGCCGACATCCCACACGCTCAATCTCGCCACCAAATAATCAGATTAGCAAATCTCGGGGACACACCACAGGGGTACACTGATACATTTGAGAGTCTAAGATCAGATCAACGCCTCTACCACTCATTATGAATCCTCAGTCTCATCAAGAAGTCCTCTTCGTATCCTCAAGCATGAGAATGTATAGAGACACCGTGAAGATAATGAACATGTACCCATCCCGCGCCTATGAACCGCCAAAATAAAGGACTGAAAAAAAAAGATATTCGCTATGGAGTGGCCCTGCACTCAACTCCGGTATCGTCGACACGACCAGACAAGAGGGAAACACATCTTGACATTGAAACGCCTCGTGAACACCCGCCTTTTTTCCGCTCTTGATAGTTTCTCAAGTGAAGATTCAAAATAATATCGTATCAAGTCCCAACCCCAGAATAATCAACGGCCGTTTCCTTTCTTGCTACCAATTTTAAGACGTTCCTTGCAGTCTTCGCAATACCATTTGCCTAATAGCCCAGTCAGCGAAACATGCATAGTGTAGAGCCATGAGGCTCGGGAATTTGGTATAGAACTTACTCTTTTCCCCAGGCGCAACCTTCAAGCCAACGCAAGCGAGATGGAACCATTCCCGCGTACATTCGTCAGAGTCGCACGCCACCATCTCACCATAGCTGACCCCGTTGCAGTAGCAGTAGGTAGGCTCGTCGGCATCGAATTCCCCATCGCCGCTCGTCATTTCGTCGTCCGCAGTGGGCGGAGCCAAATGTGCCATTGAATTGGTCTTCCTATGGCCCTTCTTTCCATTGCTATCTCCATTCCGGGATGCGCGCGGTCGTGGAGGCTCTTGAAGATTGGCCATGGCCGGTGTGGATGGTTTACTTGCCCGTCCGCTCTTCGTTGTGACTGTTGGAATACCCGGAGCTCCAGGGGGTAATGATTCGCTCTTCCTCCTCTCGAGCTCTTCAGCCTTTGTTTCCTTTTTGACCAGACTTGGCGGCGGGGCTGGTGCGGCTTCTGCTGGCTTCTCTGGTTCCTTCTTTGGGGCCTCCGGTTTGGCAACCGGAACAGGTTCCTTGACCGGCGCTGGCTCATTATTGACCTCCTGGGTTGTGATAACAGGCGGAGCCGGCTCTGGCACTTCTGCCTGTATGCCATTTGTCTTGCTACTTGTCGGTAGCGCTGATCTTGGTTTATTATTATCAGGGCCGGACTGAATAGAATTCTGCCTAGCCCTAGATGCCACCGGTCGCGGCGTAACATTCGGGGCAGGGGACGCGCGCACTGGTCCCTTTGGTTCTGGTAGAGTAGATAGCACCGGCGAACCTGCAACTGAAGGCGACGCGGCTCCGTTCCTACAAGGCAATGTTAGCTTCACAATCCCACCAATTCGTTGCGGAGCTATAGGGCTGAGAGCTTACTTCTTCTTAGCTTGTGTGCTACCAGTTGGAAGAGCTTTCCGCTTCTTCGGTCCTTCGGGTACTGGGCTGCCGTTTCCACTGCTGGGCTTGCCTCTTGAGGCGTTGGGTCCGAAGACCGTACTCATAGCACGCTCCTGGAGTACCGGCTCGTTTGAAATGTTCTCAACTTTTCGCTTTTTAGAGGGGTGGTTTCCATTGCTTGCTGCGCTCGCAGATATGCCCAAGCCAACACTATTGGCTTCCGCTGTCTTGCGGGCTTTGCTAGCAGCGGGCTTCTTGCTCGTCTCGCCCTTCTGGTGGCGGTGATCATGATCATCAAAGTCGGAATCCTGATGATGGTTTTTTGAATTCTTCTTCGCCTGAACAGCTTGCTTCCTGGCATCGCTCCTGGCTGCCGCCTCGTCCGCAAGCGCCTGGGCGGCAGCGGAAATCGCCGCCGCACCATCTCGCCGGGCGCGCTCGTTGTGCGACGACTTGCCAGTGCGGTTCTCGGGGTACGCCCAGTGTGTAGTGCTTCCCCATTTTGCCTCGTCAGAGAACTCGCTCTCAAGGTACGGCCACATATCCTCAATGCGAGCCAGCTGCTTCTGCAGGGCTTCATTGGCTGTGTTGATGACGTGGTTCTTCTCCTCGAGCGCAACCAGCATCTCGGTGATCTTGAATGCGGTTTGTCGGAAGAGCTGTCGGCGGGGGATATTGGACGGGTCGAACACGCTCGAGCTGGTGCCAATCGATTCAGCGGTCGAAGGAGGCGGCAAGGGAACGCCCTGCGCGGTCCCGCTGGAGCTATTCTGAGCACTCATCGGGGCAGAGGCTGGCGCAGCGACACTCGACATCTCGTTTTGTGGTCGGGTTTCGGGCCATGGGGCATTGGTGGCGGCAGAGACCAGTTTGAAGAGCTGGTCCTGCGGGCCGGAGAGCTTGGCGTCGACTTCTCGGAGCAATGTGAAGTGTCGAACGAGCTCCTTTGGCAGTGCGGTCATGGTGTCCGCGAAGAAGGTGATCGCGGGAAAGATGTCGATGGATTGGTCACCGGTGGCACCATTGCCGAACGACTCCCTGTTGCCGCTGGCATTGCGAGCCAGTGTAGCAGAGCTTCGAGGAGGGTTCGTACGTGTCTGCCGCACAGGCTGGGACCTGCGATGCGATGAAGGCTCCGCTGACGACGGCTTGGCCGACTTCATTGCGGGCGCGACTCACGTTTCGACGAGAGTGCGAGAGAGCTGGGCTGGAGGTTGGAAGCCGACAGCGGTGGCCGAGGGTAAAAGAATGAGGCGGGTGGGAATAAGTAATAGTGAGCCAGCGATCGAGAAGGCTAGAGCATTTTGCGCGATCTGACATGCAAATCGTCAAGGTATACGCGATATCTCGTCGTCCAGGTTGGAGAACGCAACGGCAAGAGTGGTGGCCAGCAGGAGAAGAGATCACCCACCAGACTGACCTTATCCGCTTACCTTGTGCCAGGTGATTCTTATCGCGCATCCGCAATGGCGATAGGAGTGGGGCCTCCCGCCCATCTACCACCACAACAACTGTCTACGCCCCCAGAAATGCGGCTGCCGGTCACGCCTGGATTGGTGTCTCTTTAGTCATGATTTGCCCAACGCGCAATTCTTTCTAGATATCCAGTGAGAAGCGGCATATCTATCTCAAGGAAAAGAAAAGTCTCAGCTTAAACAGTACCGAAATAAAAGTATGGTAGTTTGAAACGGAGCATAATTGCGTGGGTGAAGAAAAAGGAGACGGAGAGTTTGCCCAATAGGCGCCCCTAATCACTAGCCTTAAAAACACCAAATTATCGGGTGACGTCTTCATCTGACAGGAGGAAACAAAGTTGAGAGATACATGAGTCTTAGATTCAAGATTCGCATAGGATGGTGATGCATCGTCCAATTGCGCCAATGCAGTTCTCATACTGGCGGAAAGCTCCATGAAAGCCGTTGACCTGCATGTCACGTACCACTTTCACATGATTGATGATTTGGATACCACGCAAACTCCGGTGGGTTGTCTATTGTTTATTATTCAGGTTGTTTAAATGTTCAAAATGAATTAATGACGCCACATGCCACGTAATATTTGTGGCAGCTTCAGGCGAATAATGATGAGCCCAGAATGATTTGAATGACCGTTGACAGACAAAGAAAATGCAGTGATGTGAAACCCACTCCTGGAGACAAACTAGCTCTGCTTCGCTCCTCATATTTTGAATCCTCCTCTACAACAAGGGTATCGAATTTTGACAATGTCTATTCTACAATAGTGCCGTTTCGTCGCCTACTCGGCGCATCCTCTCGAGATTTCTGCTTCAGTCTCCATTGCCACTCGAGGAGAACCCAGACAAAATGGTGGAAATCGAACTCGGGCCAGAGGCAGTTGAGGAAGAATATTTGAGTGTCCTGGTGGCACTGCCAGAGCATGAAATCACTCAGCCGCTCAACACCGCTGGTCCTGATAAAAAGGTCCAAGGGCGGGTCCTCCGATGTGTACATATGCCGGTCCAGGGTCTCGACTGTAATGGTCTCCGGGTCCGGCAGTTTGGATTCATCATAAGAACCATTTCTGGTTCGGCGACGGGGAGAAGGTGAGTCTGGGGGAAGAGTGGCTGAGGATGAATCGCCTCCGTCCGCATCAAGCGCCACTTCTCCCTCTGCTGCTTCAGTCTCGGTTTGTTTTTCAGGTGAGCTGTCTCGAATCGTTGGCAAGGGATCATGTCCGTTCAACTGCCTTGACAGGATATTTTGTCGAATACGTGATGGCGAGAAAAGCTGGTTCTTGGGGGCTGGGGGTGCGAGGAACTCCGAGACAGTCGATTGTACTGCAGTCGCTATCTCGGCTCTGGATGTGTATGGGAAGCAGATGTTCAACACCGCGCTATTTCCCAGTTAGCTATTCATTCTAGAACAGGCGCTTCTTCATGCAAGGCTCACTTCTTGTTGTGTTGTGTTCTTGCCACGGCCTTATCCACGACTTGTAAGACATCCTCCCGGAGAAGATCGCGTTGGCCGAGGACTCGGACGGCAGCTCCATATCGATCCAGGATATCGCCATACGTAGTGAGCTGTTCAAGCTTGACCTTGGCAAGCTGCATGAGACCGTCGACCTCGTACTGCGGGCGGTTGAAGTTTTCGATACTGAAGGCATACACGGTCACGGTCTTGACACCGGCCTTGTAGCAGATTTCCATAATCTAGGGACGAGTCAATAGGTAGATTGGATAGGTTGAGGACTGGAAAGTTCGCACTCTTGCCAGAGATTCGAAACCGCGATGGTGGCCCTCGACTGTTTCCATACGGTGGCTTCGGGCATACCGCCTGTTGCCATCCATCTCGAATGCCACATGCTGCGGAACTGGCCCCTGCTTGAGGGCGCCGATAAGCAAGTCACGAAGCTGTGAAAGCGCCCATTCTCCTGGCGGAGATTGAAAGACGAGTCTTTGAAGAAAATTGACGGTGCCGCTCATATCGCGGGCCTCGGTATCGGTGGGATGGTTTTTGTTGTAGAAAGGGGGACAGGTGGGCTGTCAACAAGATGCTAGATAAAACAGTATGCCGAGAGAGGAAATACGTCAGAAGTCTATGAGTCGGCAATTTTGGAGAGCATAGTCGCAGTGATATAGGTTCTATAAAAAAGGGGAGATGCAATCAACGCGACATTTCAGTGGCGGAGTCGTAATGCGGGAGAGACCATGACGACGAGCTTGTGGCTTCAGCTTTTCGAGGCAAGCTGCAGCACATCTGAAGCTTGGCATCAGCTGCTGTACCTTGATCAGCCGAGTTGCGGGTGGTCAGCCACGTCTTTTTGGGGGGAGCGCCACTATGCCCAGTCTTCATTACGTGGCCCATTCACCCTCATCTCCTCTTGATTGCCTCGGGATAGGCAGCGCTAGGCATGGCTGGTGCGATGGGCTGTTGCCAAGAGGTGGGAGTAAGCTGTTTAGATCAATGCAGTCCCATAAATCGTTCCGCCCTCCATCAAACGACCGTTAGCATGAAATCGGCGCTGATATACCTTCTTTGGTCTTGATATTGTGGCTGGTGACTGTGTCATGATGCACGTGTTATGTAATCTTGCCCCACGAAGCTTCTCACTCCCTCAGCAGCCCTACCAAGTGCCTACCAACAACTCATGTAACTGCCTACCCTGTTGTCTCTTTCAGCTACGTCGCGCTTGCTATACTGGACCGGCGGTGGGTGTTCGGGTTACTGTGATATGCATTGCGAGGTACGTTTCGTGATGGATCTGAACCTATGCTCTGTAGAAGATGCGGAACACACATTATGATGACATATTCTTATCTATGCTAGTTTCTGTGAGCGCCATCGCAACCACCACTATAGCTTGCATATGCGACAAGATCCTCGAAATGAACTACTCTAATGCATTGCAGGCTGGTTACATGCTAACATGAGCAATTGAGCTTCAAAGTTCAAAGTCAGCGTCGCAAGGTAAAAGTCTGGAGCCTCTGACCAAGATATTGACGTCATGCTGCTTTAACTGACTAGGGTAAGGCACTTCGGATCACGATAGATGTTACAGCCTTGGCGTAAGTGGGTGGAATTCAGATGCACAGGGATGTCACCACTTTAAGAGTTGCAATGCTTTTTGCAGGCTCTTCAACTTTAGGTAGCGTGAATCACCTCCAAATATTGTGTACAAAATGACCCTTAGATATTCCGTATGTACACTTTTCGATGCTATTTCTAATAAAGACAGCTTTTATAACTCCCTATTGGATGGAAAACCAGTCAGGTAGTATACATGCCCGTTCCTAATTTGCACGCCGTTAAGAAGCCGTGTACCCTGTGTGAACAAGGCTGAGAAGTAAGGCCCTTCCTGTCAATGTAGGTTCCAATGCAACGGCACTTTAAAGGGGGTACACGAAACGGAGGTTCTGTAGGTCAGTCTGATCCAGATCTTCACTGTGAATCTGAATGGTCGTGCCCTCTGCTTGCAAAACGTCTCTGTCGGAAGCATCGCTCGCTTCTTCGAGGAGAAGCCGACGTTTTTCATTTTGACGCGAAAGATAGAATCGGATAAGAAGACACATGGCTGGTGAGATGAACCAAAAAGCCGTCATGAATGACCAGGGAAGAGTATACCGCGGCTGGTACTGCGGTTGCCAGAATCTGAGCATTTCTTAGTATAGAATTCCTCAGTTCAAGACGAATAGTTCTAGAACCTACTCGGGTGAGATCATGTTCGCGACCGAGGCGGCCACAACACAAGAGGACAGTACGGTAAGCTTCTTCGTGTAGCCAGTAGTCGCAGTTCCCGCCCATGAAAGTCCTAGAAGATATGAAGGCTTGAAAGTGGATATCTGAGTCCCAACAACAAGTGCAACCTTGTTGGACCATGGTGCAGCAAGCTTAAGCAGTCAGTATGAAGGTAAGGTTCGTTCAGTTAGCTCATGGGTGAACGCACCTCAATAATACCTCCAACAAAACATGGTATGTAAGAAATGGCACATGTATAACCTGTACCCAGCCTTGTGGCGTAGAGCATGAAGGCCGAGACAAGGATGAGAAAACTACCAATGAGCGGCTTCGCAATGTTGAATAGCGCACTCTCTGCAGGGGTAAATCCAAGGCCGACAATAATAAGTGGCAGTTGTTGTGATGTGTTGTTCGGGAGTTCGTTAAAGAACATGTGAAAACTGTGGCCATGTTAACGTAACAGATACAACATGCAGCTGTGTAAGTGATGGAGCATACATAAAGAACCAACTTTTCAAGTCTGTAAAAGCCTCGCGGACTTGAGACCATTTCCAAGAGGAGTTCTTAATTCCAGACTGAGACTCGCGAATAGAGCTAATCGTCATAATCTTCTCTTCTGTAGAAAGCCATTTTGCATCAACTGGAGAATTCGGGAGGAAGAAATAGAGTGGAACACAGACAACAAAAGTCAGAATAACACATATGATGTGGAGCCATTTCCAGGATGAAAGGCCGCCCACCAAAACGCTGTTCCCTTCCTCTAGAATCAACTTGTAAGCAACCATGGTCAAGAGCACATTGGCTAAACTGCCAGAGGCCCACCACAGTAGTTGAACCCAAGGACTTCGTTTAGGAGGAAAGAAGGCTTGGTGAAGAACGGTAGTGCTCGGCACGATCTGCGATTCGGTCTGTTGGCTTGTTAGATTGGAGGTTTTCGTTCCAGTTTTCAATAAACTCACCATGCCCAGGATGAACCTCAGTGCGATTAATTGCTTTCCTGTCTTGACTACCGTGTGCATTCCAAGCAGAAATGCCCAAAGAAAGAGCGATCCCACAATAAAATACTTTTGGCCAGTACGTTGAGAGAGCCATGCGCCAGGCCAAAGGGCAATGAGATACCCAGTGTAAAATACAACAAAGAGGTCATTGTATTCTTTCTTGGTCATATTGACATCCTGAAAGATACCCATAGTACTGGCCTGGGAGAGTGTTGATTTGTCGAGATGGATAAGGAAAGCAATCCACCATGTCTGGCCTAAAAGGAACCAGAAGTTTCTGCGGACTACCTTCTTTTCCATCTCAGGCGTTATCAGACCAACCTTATCTTTGTTAAGATTGTAGAATACAGTAGTGTCATCAACATCGCTAATGTTTATAGCGTGCTCGCTCGACGAAGAGTGTTCCTGAGCTACTACCTTCTTTTCGGATTCTCCCATCTCGCCGCTGATAGATTGAACATCTGCCCCGTCATCGGAATGCTGCCGTTTGGAATTTTTCAAGGAAACCGCCATAATGTGTATGAGTTTTCTGAGGCCAGGCCAAAAAAAAGGAGTCGAATGGAGTCAAGAATATAACAAAGACACTCTCAAATCGCTGTTGGTATTTTGAGCATCAAGACAGCTTGAAAAATACTAAAAACATGTTTTATCTTCACTTTATGTCATTTTCTTTTTCTATTCTGTGAGCAACCAACAAAGCCAAAGCGGTTCTCAGTTCCGGATACTCGGCACAGCAGATGTTTTGCCTCATCACGTAATTCCCTGCCAGTGAGCATCCCAAATAATAGTTCATATTCAGCAAGACAAAGAGGTTCTTATTCTATTTTCACAGCGTCTCATGCATCAAAAGCTACTGTCAGTAGCTGAAGATCCTGGCTTATGGTCCTAGAGTAGACACGCACTGTGTTATCACAAAATCCTTTGAGCTACGGCGCAATGACCGTGCCTTAAGCTACTGGCTTTCTGCATCATTCCGAGTCTAATCTACTTCAGTAATGATCACCAATTCTGTGCTGAATAATGACGGTGTATTTAATGGCAATCACGAGGGCCCAGCTAATGTTAACCGCTTAATTAGAGCAAAGTGTTGAAGTGATACACTTAAACTTATGCTTCGTAATAAGAATAACCTTGTCCATGAGCCTAACACACTAGGTAAGGTACCTACATGTAAGTAGAATAAAGAGTAGTTCTTATTCCCGCAAACAGTTCCCACACGGCAAATATGAGCCGAGCAGTCCACCGAAAAGGAAGGTCCTGGGGATTTTTGGCATTTGGATATGTGTCACAAGTACGAGTTCCGAGATGAAGCAACGCCTTGACTCAGCTGTATCTAACGGATATTGCTCCGGTTCATGATCTGGTAAAGATGCCGCCCGTCGCAAGAGACATTTCACAAATCAGGATGCGTTTCCATGTTTTGCCAGGTTGCGTGGCCCGTTCGGCCCGTCTTCCAAGCCATTGCTTCTCGGGGCGCTCTCTCGCCATTGCCAGTGCTTGCGCATGTACGACGTGCTTTCCTCTCCATGTTCAAGAATGTCCGCTGCATGCTAAAAAGAGAAAATTCCTTTAGACTCTGGGTAGGTAGGAGGATTGAGGAGAACAAGATGTTGCAGACTTACATCTCCAAGAACAGGTAGGAATTTGGCTCCATGCCCACTCCCCCCAGTACATACAAAGACGCTCTTGTCGGCGTATGTAGGTACATAGTCCACCTATAGACGAATAGAGGTCAGCTTCTGAAAGCATTCAGCCCGCCTACTCTCATGTACAACTCAGAACTCACCACGAAGGAATTATCGAGCGAATCAGTATACCAGCAAAGCTTTGTTGAGTAGAAGTCGCAGTCCATAAAGTCCGGTAAGAAAATAGACACAAACTTCTTTATCGCCTCTTTGGCTGCATCTGGTATTGGGGCTGGATCGGTTGGGGAAAGTGGTATAGACCACTGGCCATCCTGCGAGAAGACCGCATTCGCCGGGGCAGTCTGAAAATTTGTCCACTATTAGGTGGCACGTCAGCTAAGTTTGTCAAGATACCAAGGCATTACCACGTTCACCTTGATGCCACGATAGCCAATTTTAATGAGGCCCTCTGGGGTCCTGGGAAACACATATATGCTACCGGTGTCCTTTCCATTGCCGCTGCGGGGAGCACTCTTCCATGTGATCACTGGGAAACGTTGAGGGGAGTATTTATCCCAAAGCTCCGTGTTGCTCTTGTCAATCTTGTAAGTGACGACGCTACCGGCGGAGGACTCCAAATGATAAGCCAGATCGGGGAGAAGCTGCGTGGAGAATGAACCGGCTGTAGATGCCTTCGATTAGTGAGAGCTTTCAGTATCAGTAGGGGTCCGCCTACCCGCACTAACTACAGTGTCAGCTTTGTGAATGGAGCCATCCTTGGTCTTCAATCCGACAGCCCTCTTGGAGGATCCAGTATCCTCAACAACAAGGCCGTCAAATTTTCCCTGTTCTGGGCCCAAATGAAACGTTACCCCTTCCTCGACCGCCCTGCCATGGACGTAAGCGCAAGCCTGGCTACATTGTGTGAATCCAGCCAGCGAATCAAGCACAGCCTCAAAGGTTCTGGGAGGAGATGTTTCGGGAATAGTAAAGTCCAGAAGCTTCTTGTCCCAGCCGGACTCCATGGCCCGCTCTCGGTCTTGAGAGTCACCCTTCACAAACTGGGCATCTCGATGTCCCTCAGACTTCAAAGATTCCAGAGTCTCTCGTTCTAGGGTATCAAGTTGATCAGTTGGCTGGACGCGAAGCATGCCACAGCTCTGGAATAGGTTGAATTCGGATCCTGCCACGCCGCTCTGATATTGTTCGTTCAAGCTAATATTAATGTTCTCCCAAGCCTGCCGACTCTCGAGAGCGAGCCTCTGATAATGAATCTTTTTGCCATAAGATGCTCGAAACTTTTCACGACTGATGTTAGCCTGGAGTTTCTGTACTTCATGAGATAACGGGGAAGAACATGCAATTTTATTGTGGTCGACCGATGCGACTTGGTACTCGTTGCCTTTTCCAGGCTCATATCGTGTCAAATCATATTTGTGTTGATCAAAAACATCAACCTTGTATTCTAAACTTGATTAGCCCAGCAGAGAGTTGGAGTATATGTGAATTATCTTACTCCTTTTTCTTAGAGCGAGGGCCAGAGAGAGGCCAAAAACGCCGGCTAATCAAGTTAGCACTTGCCTATTGATATTAAGTCGACTTTAATACGTATGCTTACCGCCAACGATAGCAACTGACTTCCGACTTGGCGTATCCATCATGACCTAGTTAGCCAAGTAAGATTAAAAGTTCTCTGTAAACTTATCTAAAAGAGAAAGGAGTAGGGCAACTAGCTGTTTGTATATAAAATATGCACGGTTAATGTGGATAGGTAACCATCAAGGTGAGCAAAATATTATCAATAACTGGCACCCTGACCTCCTGTTGTCGGATCTATTAATGCATTGAGGTTCAATTCAAATAGGCTACCCTATAGCACATAGCCTGAGTGGCAGTTGGACGATGCATCCTATCTCCTCGGACCGGTGTTGGCGGCAGTTGCGTACCTGATATGACTAGTTGTTTATGTTGGCCGGCGTCGGGGCCACTTGGGATTTCGGGACGCTGTGTTTTTTTGATGGAGATATCCCCTTGACTGTGCATTACCTACTTGTGGAGACCATCACGAACTACGTGATCCTTGCAATTGCTGAGTTACACGATAGCTGCCTACAACTAGAATATTTCCATAGCAATCGAATTTTGGTCGCTCATCTTAATATCCTATACAGAACTTGGCTAAACTGACGGGCTATGATGTATATATATCATGTTCCGGTTTACTAGAGCATCCTAGTTAGAGCACTAAAAGGCAAAGAAAAATTTCGAAGCTGCAAGGTAATCTGCAACTTCTGGCAGGGTGCCTCCTGCCCAAAATGTTGACGTCATGCTGCTGCAACTGACCAGGGTAATTCACCTATCAGGATCACGACAGATATCACGGTCTAGCACCTCATTATCACCAGCCGGCGGGCCGATGACAAGCTCATGTCTCAACGGCGCATGAACTCCGCTATTTGCCCGCCTTCTGGATCCTCCTGTGACTTGGTGCCTTGGAAGGAGATGGTCTTTTCGGTGACCGCCTAGCGCCAGCGAGAAAGCCGGTTGTGTCCTGGTGCTTGTGCCTGCGGCCACAACCCAATCATCCATGCAGCCGGAGCAGGGTATGCGACCGTTGACAGGGCATGATGACCAGGCACCTTGACCCGCAGATGCATTCGACAGTCCCGACCGCGATCGACAGCTTGCAGCATCCGGACAATGCGCCGTGCTACATCGAAGAACAGAGCTTCGTGGAGACGCTGCCAGCGACTTGCAAGAAAGGTTGACCGCCAACACGCATTCATTCATCGATCGAGAAAAACAAATAGCCCGTCCGTCTAGCCCCTTGCCTCGTAGTCCAAAGGCAATAGCTGCCGGACAGAGCTCCAGGCCTGCTAGGCCGTGCCTCAGCAGCTCCCCTGTGGTCGCATGCGGCCTAGCTGTGACCGCCCCTCTTCGGCCACCCCTCCACCAGTGCCCCTCCAGATCCAAAATCTACAATGCTGGTGATCCATTAATAAATGCTGACCTACCAGCTCGCATGTGCCTATGACACCCACAAATGTCCTGTCATTGCTTGCTAGTGCCTGACTGAGCTAAATGTGCCGCAGCCATTGATACCGCCCGAGAGCTTGTTTCCTTTTCTGTTGCTCCTTCATCGACCGTCAACACCTTATCTCAACCGACCGCGACCGCAGTCATGGTTGTCTTTGATGGTCATGAGTACCTCACCGAGGAGGAGAAGCGCCTCAAACAGGATCGCGATCGGGACCTGTACTGGAAGAAATGGGGCCCGTATGTAGCCGAGAGACAGTGGGCGACTGGTAGGACGACGCTCCCTATTGCTCCTTTGTCCGACGAGCGAGATTGCTGATTGCTTCCTAGTCCGAGAGGATTACAGCCCGGACGGCGATGCTTGGAGCCGTAAGTATCCCAATTGGACTTGCTTTGGCCCCCCAGGCGATTAATTAGCTTCTAGACTTTCCCCACGACCATGCGCGATCTCGAGCCTTCCGATGGGGCGAAGATGGTATTGCGGGTGTCTCAGACACACACGGCCTCCAAAACATCGCCTTTAGCTTCTGGAACGAGAAAGAGTTGGTCTTCCGCATCTGCTCCGTTCCTGGGCTCGGGCCGCCTGTGGCTAACCTGGTGTAGTGACTTTCTGAAGGAACGTTTATTCGGTCTGTCCAACCCGCAGGGCAACCATGGAGAGAGTGTGAAGGAAGCTCATTTTCACCTGGATAACACTCCTGTAAGTTCACCACTGGTTCCCGCTACTCCGCCATCACATGTACTAACAAATCATAGACCGTATGTTCTTGCCTGCGACCGCCTCACTCGTTCCGTTGAATTGAATAATAACAATGATTGCAGCATTCGTACATGAAATTTCTCTACAAATACCCCCAGAAGAAGTTCCCTTATGAAGATCTCTTAAAGGAAAGTGCCCGGCGCACAAAGCAAGACAAGGAGTACCAGCTCATCGACACTGGCGTTTTCGACGAGGATAGATACTGGGATATCTTCATCGAAACTGCAAAGGAATCCGATGACCCAGATGAGCTTCTATTCCGAGTCACTGCTTGGAACCGAGGTCCCGATCGCGCGCCGCTTCATATCGTACCGCATGTTTGGTTCCGGAATACCTGGAGTTGGGGCCGCGAGCCAGAAAATAAGAAGCCATCCATCCAGCTCCATAACGAGGTCGCAGCCAAATCCAAGCATTATAGTTTGGGTGAAAGATACTTTCTTCTCTCTCCATCACCTGGAGTTGGCTCCAGCGAGGAGGACGTCATGCCCGAGTTGATGTTCACAGAAAACGACACCAACTTCAAAACTTTGTATGACCAGAAGAACCCCCAGCCTTACGTCAAGGATGCCTTCCATCATTATATCGTTGATGGAGAAAAGGACGCCATCAATCCTGCAGAAAAGGGTACCAAGTGCGCTGCCTGGTACCCTTTCAACGAAGATGGCGGTGTTCCTCCCGGGGAGTGTGCAGGTAAGACTGATTTCCAATGGCGAGGGGAAAGATATTTGAGCTGATAATCCACACAGTGGTCCGCTTTCGAATTTCCAAGAAGGATATAGCCTACCTTGACGAGGAGGAGTTTGATGACATTATCGAAAAGCGTAAGGAAGAGGCCGATGAGTTCTACTACAGGATCAGCCCGCTACCGATTTCCGATGATCTTCGCAACGTCCAGAGACAGGCCTTTTCCGGGATGATGTGGAACAAGCAGCATTATCTGTTTATTTGGGACCAATGGGCGAATGGAGACCCTTCAATGCCGCCACCGCCTCCCGATCGACGAGGGATTCGCAATTCTCAATGGAAACACATGCATTGCGATGATATTCTGTCTATGCCTGACTCTTGGGAATACCCCTTCTTTGCTGCTTGGGATAGCGCATTTCATTGCATTCCTCTGGCCATGATTGACCCTGACTTCGCCAAGAAGCAGCTTGATCTATTCACTCGAGAGTGGTACTGCCATCCGAATGGGCAGATCCCAGCGTAAGTTGACCCTTTTATATTGTCGCTGGTTCGAGATGTGAGTGATGGGTGACTAACATAAGAGAAACAGCTACGAATGGAACTTTGGTGATGTCAACCCTCCTGTCCATGCCTGGGCAACCTTCCGAACTTTCAAGATTGAGCGGAAACTCTATGGACGTCAGGATATTGATTTCCTTGAACGTGTTTTCCAGAAACTTCTGCTGAATTTCACGTGGTGGGTGAACCGCAAGGACACCGATGGCAAGAACGTGTTTGAGGGTGGTTTCCTCGGGCTGGACAATATTGGCCTCTTCAACCGATCCGAACCCCTGCCAACTGGAGGTGTTCTTGAGCAGGCAGACAGTACAGGATGGATGGCCTTTTACTGTTTGAGCATGCTCAACATTGCCCTGGAGCTGGCAAAGCACCGCCGCACCTACGAGGATATTGCGTCCAAGTTCTTCGAGCACTTCATTTTCATTAGCGACGCAATGACCTTCCGAACAGGGGGCAAAGAGGAGAAGTCATTGTGGAATGAGGATGACAGCTTTTATTATGATGCCATCTCCTGGGGAGGTCCATGGATCCAGCAGCTCCCCGTCCGGTCCCTCGTCGGGCTCATTCCCCTCTATGCCACTTCAACTCTCGAACCTGAGTTGATCAATAAGCTTCCATCGTTCAAGAAGCGAGTGGACTGGTTCGTACAGAATCGCTGCGATCTTGCTGAACGTAACATGGCAAGTATCCAGAAGAGAGGTAAGGGGAATCGGCTTCTCCTTTCTATCGTCAGCAAGGACAGGCTAGAGAAAATCTTGAAGAGAATGCTGGACGAGAATGAGTTCTTCAGCGACCATGGTATCCGATCGCTGTCGAAATATCACAAAGAACACCCCTTCTCCATGGAGGTCAACGGTCAGAAGTTCGAGGTTGGATACGTCCCTGGAGACTCTGACAGTGGCCTTTTTGGTGGAAACAGTAACTGGAGAGGCCCAATCTGGCTCTGCGTCAACTTCCTCTTAGTAGAGTCTCTACAGAGATTCTTCCTCTTCTACGGACACGAGTTCCAGGTGGAATGTCCTACCGGGAGCGGTGAATACATGCACCTGGGCAAGGTTGCAGAGGAGATCCAGCATCGTCTCCAGCATCTGTTTGCCCGCACCGACGATGGAAGACGTAGCATCAACGGCGGCGACGATCGTCTCGATTTTGATGAGCACTGGAAGGACTACCTTTGGTTCCACGAGTTCTTCGATGGTGATAGTGGCCGAGGACTCGGTGCTACCCACCAGTGTGGTTGGACGGGCCTGATCGCTCGAATGATTCACGATACCGGGTAAGTCTTCCACAAGAACTGCTTGAAGTAGCCCCCCCTTCAAGAGTTAATGCTAACCGAATCCCCAGTGTGAACTGTCGACTTCCCCAAACTCCCAGAGAGCCAACTGCCACCATGGCACATTACTTCGACGATGTGTTCCAGCGAAGAATCAACGCCGGAACCCCCCACCCCTCTGGGAACATGCGCATCCGGCGATCATCCACCTCTCGCTCAATCGGCGCGAGAAGTGACTTCTCGCTCAACGGGGTGGATGCGGATGATGAGGATGGTGATGCGCAATCTACCACCGCATCTGTCTTCCCAGATGACCCGGAGCGTACCCGCCAGAGGTCCGAGGCGGACTCTCACATGCACCAGTACATATCGGACCAGCTTGAACGCTACAGGATTGACCAGACCTCCAATGAGTACGAACAGGATCTTGAAACCGACGCAAAATTAGGATGAGTGGCGCTTGGATATGGGCTAGATACTTTGTTTGTTTTGTATACGGAGAACAGAAGATGGCTGATCTCATTCCTCGGGTTCAACATCAAACCGCAATTTACAGTATAGGATAGAATAAAATACATGTGATATTCAATGGCGCCTTTTCCGATACCGCATGCTTGCTGATTTAACAATACATCATCATGGAGTCTTCATCGTCATCTTGGTCACAGGATGTTTATATAAGACGTTGTACTGAAATAAGTAAACCCCCGACTTTCAGCAGGAACATAGCATGGCCGTATTATCTAGCTTCTCATCTAAGCAAGGAACAGAGCCAGGGCACAGGCTCAAGGCTGTCTCTACTCTCCCGCAAAGCCCTGCAATGGGACATTTGGAATAACAACAAGCACCCAGAATGCTGTGAGCCATTGATCTTTTTTTTTTTATACATGGCACAAAGGGAAAAAAAGGTAAGTCAATTGACTTTATAGAGTGCTAGTAGTAGTATAGACGAGTGATATTTTACAGGCTGTCCGTCAAGAGCTTGTTCATCTTGGCGATGCGGGCGGAGACGCTGAGGTCGATGGTTCGGTCACCGATCTCAACGACGAGTCCACCGACGATCTCAGGGTTGACCTTGGGGAGGGCAGAATTAGCTGGCGCACTTACGATGCCGGGAGGGATCGAAGATCCAAACGAGTCAAAAAGAACATACAGAGTTGGTGACCTTGAGGGTCTTGCCGGGGCCGACGTAAGCGGACTTGGAGACGGCGTTGGAGAGACGGTTGAGAGTTCTGTTGTCGAGGCCCTGCAAAAAGGAAATGTTAGAGAATTCCATACATAGTAGCACGCCCTCGATATGCATCGCAATTCCATGTCCATAGAGCTCCAGGTCTTGTCGCAGGATTGGCTGTTGCAAGGGAGAGTCGACCTACCTGAGCGCTGGTGATCTTGAGCTCAACCTCGCCACGGGCGGCGGCGATCAGCTCAGAAAACTTCTGGCAGACGCCGCCGAGGAGGCCCAGGCGGTTGTTCTCGGCGAGGGTCTCGAGGAAGTTCTTGACGGTGGGGTCGCTGGCGCCGGCCTGCTTGGTGAGCTCGGCGACGATGTCGGACTTGTCCTGGGGGGTCAGGGTAGGGGCCGACAGGATGGAGGCGAGCTTGGTGTCCTTCTCGAGGAGGGCGCCGAGCTTGGTGATGGCGTTGGCGGTGGGATCGAGGGCGGAGGACTTGGAGGCGGCCGTGTACTGGTAATTGACGCAGAATGTGTTAGCTATTTTCCACCTCGCGTGCCGTTCCCCCGGTTCGTCAATTGGAGCTTTCGGCGGGGGTCAAAAAGCGCCCAATTGATCGCGGAGAGGCCAATTCCACCGAAAATTCCATCTTGCGGCCGGAGTACACGCGTACCAGAGCAGTGGCATAGGTGCCATCGAGGCCGAAGACAGCCTTGGGGGGCTTGACGTCGGCGCTGGCAGCCGCGGCAAAGGACCGCACAGGCGTTGATCGCAGGGCGAGGGCACGCTGGGGGGCAGCAGCCCGGACGGAACGAAGAGCTTGTCGCGAGAACATGGCGGTCGTTTGGCGGAGGAAGGTTGGGGTTGCTGGAAGGAGTTCGTGATGATGGCGTCCGGCTTGTTCTCGTTGGAGACTGTTGCACTTCGGCAATTTTGAATTCTTGTTGCCTTACTGGATCTTCCGATCTAAGGCATCAACATGCTCTTTCCCCACTGGTCAACTGTGATTACATAATGACATCAAAGCTATGCCCTGCTAAATGGATGTCAGAAAAATAGGGACAACAAAAGCGATCCGATATCTTAATTTTCTGATAAAGGGCAAAATATTCAGTGACGATAGCTTGCAGTTCTAATAATTCGCTAAGATTGGGTATTATTGTTACACGATAGAAAGTGAGAATATTAGTGCTATGTGACTGGCATTCGCTATTAGACATTCGAGGTCCTTAGTTTTCTGACACCCACGTGCCTGCTACTATGGGCCGCCGTATAGACATATCAAGTTTGGGGTAGCGAAACATTGGGAACATTGGGCATTTGGACAGTCAATGAAAAAATCAAATGTTACCAAGTCTATGTGAAGTCTGGTTTTCTTCCTTCGCTTGATACAACAATGTGTGTTCTTGTTCCTTAATTGGATTCATATCTAACCTGTACCAAACCATGCTCCCTGTATCCCTGAAACAAAATCCCAAACGCCGCAAACTCCTCAAGGGCCCTTAAAGCCTTGTATACATGAAAGTACGCCAACCCAGATCTTGAAAGCCAGTCTAGTCGCTCTTCAACATGCTATCAACCAAATCACCCAGAGGCCCCCAGTAGTCCCGCCCACTGGCAAGGCTGTGCTCGTCAATGAAAAGCACATACTGCTTAAAGCTGGTGTTGAGATGTGGCTCGAGCCCCAGCTCCCGAATGACAGGGTAATGGTGGCAGTAAATGTGTGCATAAACGCGGTACATGCGCTTGAAAATCTGGCGGACCAAGGCCGGGAAAGACTTGGGGAATGGGACACCTGGTAAAAAGGGTCAGATAAGCTCAACAGGGTACCAAGACTTTCGATGGTGCCTCGAATATCACTTACCAATCTTGCTGGGCAGGACTTGCTCATTGTCGATGTTCGACTGCACCCATGCCATGAGTTGTTCAATGTATGCGGGGGCGGCCATCTTGGTTGGCCGCTTGTAGTTCTCGTTGTCTTGCCAGAGGTACTCGAATCTAGTATGTTCAGCTGGGGACATTCCGATATATCATTTTCGCAAGTAGACATACTCGTCTGTCGCCTTCATTTCAGGGCATGATTGAGGAGAGCAGAATTCTGTAATAGCACCGTAGAGGAGGTTGATTTGGTTGTAGAAGTCCACCACTGTTGTCCATCAGTCACATGTCTTGAGGGCGTAACCTGGATTTATCGAGCTTACTGTTGACGGCGAGCCATTCGTTCTCATCCTCGCCCTCGGGGAGCTTGACGACCTTTCTCAAGCTACCACCCCCCAGGGTGACCTCGGCATACTGTCTAAGTTGGTAGCTGGGCGTACCGCCCTTGCCCAATCGGGGTCGAAATTGGTTCTTGGTCCGCTGGTTGCTGTTCGGAGCCATGGTCCTGTTAGCATTGAGCCCATCTGCGAGGATCAGAGGAGGCGGCGGGCTGGGGTCGGCAGGAGGAGGGGATGGAGCATCTCTATAAACGGGTATGATGGTGTTGTCGATGCGTTGCATGGTAGCAAGCGACTTGGGGCTCAGGTAACGGAAGACGGAGGCCATTGCAGCGACTTGTGAGGCTTGGAGATCAAAGGGAGAGAGACGAACACGGTGGTAAGGAACTGATGAGCCATGGCGGCAGCGTTATGAATGCGACGGGCGGTTGTCAATAATCGGAATCCGGGTTGCGATACTGCATTCCTGTTGTTAGCGGGGGAACGATGGAGGGGAATGCTGATTGGAGACACCCACGGCTGTGATGCGAACTGGAGAACAGGCACGACGTGATTCTCGAGAAAAGAACGCACGATCTGAGGCCACCTGTGATGTGTCCAGCTGCTGGCCAATAGTTGGGGCAAGGGTTTGGGTGGGTTCGGATGCTGATGATGCACACAGGGAAGTTGTAGTAGGAATCGATCAGGCTTTTGGGATGGTGTTGGCCCGCATTGCAGTTGGTTCCTGGTGGGGTGTTTACTTGGTTGCCCTTTTTGGGGCGGTTGCTGGGGGACCGACGGACTTGCTCTCCCACCGCCATTGGAGCTCGTACCCACTGCTGCGGCCCCTAACAGCCCTGTAGACCCCCCGATTAACCTCCAAGGATTGACCAGCAACCCATGCGTCTGTAGTTGCTCTCGACAACCACATGCATGCTTGCGAGATATGTTATGTGCTTAGGAACTTAATTTATGAAACCATGAGAAAATATTTCATTAGTTGCGGCGTATTCGATCAATAAGAAGATAAATATTTTCACCAGTCGACGCGAGACTTCAACTAGAGGGAGTTGCTAGCCAACCAAGCCAGCTATTCTTGTTAAGTCGTGGAGTAAGATGTTGAAGCCTCCTCGTATTAGTCTTCGAGGCTCGTAGATCACCACCTCCCTCCCCGACCTCGGCCTCGGCCTCGACCACGTCCTCCATGCCCTCCATGCCCTCTATGTCCGCCCCTGTGGCCGCCTCGAGGAGGGCCTCTTCCCTGGAAGCCACCTCGTTGTGATGGTGCTGGGCCTCTGGCTTTCCTTTCAGCCCTCTCCTCGGAACTTGCGTCCCATAGATTCTGTATGCCAAGGAGAGAACAGAACGCCGCAGTCTGGGGGCTCGTATATTCTTCTGGCTGCTCATGAACAATGGCAGGGGTACCATGAACATATGGAGGAGCTGTGACTTCGAAGTTTCTGGGAATCTCGAGTCTATCCTTCTTGACAATGTTCTCATCCACCCACTCCATCTCAGACTTGATCAATGGTAGATACTGGTCTTCACCAATGTTAGGTGGGTTCTGAGCCGTTGGGTCGCCAAATTGAAGCGAATCATGGAAGACTCGTATGATTGCTAGCCATTCAGGGTCATACTCAAATCGGAAACGAGGCCCCGACGATTGCGGTGGATATTTGGACGCATCCTCCTCTTGGTGTGGGTGAATTTCGCATAGTTGCAAAAAATGCCTACCAGGAAGACATTTGTCCAGGGCTAAGAAGCGCACCTCCTTGTTTGTGATTGTTTTTGGGACAGGTTGGCCTGGCTGACCTGTCACTGTCTTCTTGGGACGGGTGAATGAAGCAGGCAGCTGCGCCCTTAGCTCATCGGAGACACCCTGTGAATCAGTTTGAGGTTGACTGCTAGGCGCAGGTTTGGTTGTTTCTGGACCATCTTCGTCATCCAAGTCGAGATCAATTTCATCTGGATTCCCCGCATCCGTGATTTGCTCGTCTACTCCCTTGGCTTCCTCGCCTACTGTTTGTTGTTGATTCGAGGCGGGATCGGAGGCTTGATCAGAATATGTCTTGAGCGCAGCATATTTGACATGTAGATGTGCTGAAAACCAGTAGGGAGGCCGCAACCTATCCATGACATACTTGGCGCCCTGACTGCCGAGTGTACCATCCTTGGACTCTTGCCTGAAATCTCTCTTCTTTCTGAACAAAGACTCGGAGTCACCATGCTTCTCGATCTCACGGGGCCAATCATGACTCAACCCAACATCCACTTGAGATTGCACCAGTAAGAGTTTTCGCACATCAATTTCGCGGACATGATAGAACGACTTGACATCGTCGGCGTTGAAGGGAAGGCGTTCATGATGGGGCTTGTTGTAGTCAAAGCCCTTCCAGATGCCAGATAATCCAGCAATTCGAATGGGACCCAAGCGAACGATGTTGGCGGCACCAAGGTAATAGATGTTTGGGGCAACCCAGCCGCCGTAGTACAGCTCCCAGAGATGAGAGCTGGCCTCGTGATTGCCAGCAATGAAGATGGTCAAAAAGGGGGCAGTCCGCTCGCCAGAGTAATACTTGGGGAAATCACCAAGTTCGCGGTACTTGACCGGACACGACATGATGGAGAGGTCTTCTGCATTGCGAACTGCCTTGATAGGTCTATTAGCTCTGTGGACAATAAGGTGTGGGCATCCAATTTGATATAGTAGTAGGGGGATAGGTACCTGGAAATCTCCACCGATGATGAGGAGATCGACGCCATCCCATCCGCGAACCTCGCATGATTTTGCGACCGATGCGTAGATGGCATCCAGGGTGCCATGGCCCTATGAACGGTCAGCGTCTTGCATGCTAGGCTAAAGAAGCAAAATCTCTTCCTCGCTTCTCGATTGTTTAGACTGGCTTCGATCTTACACAGCCTTCCACGGCGATACGGACACCCTGGGATTCAAACGCACTAGACGCCATCCTTTGACCTTTTTTATAAGACGGGCGTTTTTGAGACGCTGCTTGTTTTGTGGAATATCGCAAGTTACCGGGCCTCGTCTAGTCCTTCGTAGTAATCCAACTAACCTACAGTGAGTCCAAGGTAGCACCTGCCTCATATCCTTTGACCAGCAAGAGCAGCAGTTGGATGCCTTTGGTCACTTTGACCATTTAGGTATACTTAAATTTGTTAGGTATTTGCGAGATCATAGGTACCTATCGATTTTGAATGAATGTTCTTTTCCCATGTGTTCTGCTTAGTCATCGACCAGGTAAACTACGAGCTCTGAGGCGATAGCACCGAACAACATGACCTTCAAAACTGTGATCCTACTCGCAACGACCTAAGGTACTAGTATCACCGGTGAAAAGAGATTTAAGACGGGACGTGTATTGATATCTGATTGGTATGCTTCCTTCATAGTGCAGTGCACTTTCTACTAAAATGTATCCCTACAGAAAAAGCGAAATCCCAATGCGATTGCAACTGAGTCACGCAGAGTGAGAGGGAGGTATCAATATTCCATCTCTAATAGACGTTCGGCCCACGGAAGAACTGAAGAGCAGAACGCATATGCTGAAATGGGTGTTTTAGGCAGGTGCTGTTTAACATTTGGGAAAGGAATAGCTGTGTGGATGGTTGCACTATAAAGACGGACCGAATGCTGCTTGTCGTCTGCGGCATGAGGTTGGTGAACTTTGCAGTGTCTATTATCGTATTGTACCCTACCGTCTAAGGCCAATGGAGTTTCAAAGTCATATCTCATTCATTTATTGTTCAAATTCACACTGAGATTGTGAGCAACGAATGGATCAGACGGATATCATGTGGTTTTGCTTACTGGTCCAGGCCAAGATAGTCGGCAGCGGCGAGGAGTTCCAGACAGATTTCCACAGGGATATCCATATCGGGCACATCCTCGCTGTTTCGGTAACGATACCAGTAATGGAAGTACTCAACAATTTTGTCAAGCACAATAGAACTACCAATTTGTTAGCTTGATATCGGTGAGATTGGAGGCGGCGAAAGTGAGAAGGGATAGGCAAGCTGGTCAGTTCAAGTGTAGAGGGTGATCAGTCGGAACACGCCAGGTTATCGGGGTTCCGTCAAGAGAAATAACTCAAAGTCATCATCCCAGGCGTCCCTAATGTGTCGATCTGCGCGGGTTGTGAAGTGTGGGATGTATAAGCAAGGGAATGACAAACCTTATCTCCTGGAAGACACATCGCGCGTGTTTGGCCTCAGCAAATTGGCCTGTGTACAAGGAAAGGCAGAGTGTAAGCATCGAATAGTAGACCTAATGGGTTATCTCAAGACGGCGAGCCGCCTTTGTTACATACTCTTCGGGTCCAGCATGCCCTTGACTATAGGGCTGACCATAGCAGCTTCCCGAAGAACAACGAACTCGAATCCATCGCTCGAGATGAGCGTGACATACTTGCTGGGAGCTTGAACGTCCATTGTGGTTGTGTATATGTGTGCAACTTTACGCCTGGGATCCCGGGAACTGATGTGAGAAGCCGAGGGGGCTCTGGATAGAAACTGGCTGGAGAGTCAAGCGCTTGCTCAACGCAATCGACAGCCTTTGGAATCCGACACGGAGGTCTCTCTTGTCTTCTGCGGCTTTCCACACGCACTCGTTTTTTGGATCTTTGGGAGCTGCAGCAGCTCTGTATGCACGAGTCAACAGTTTCAGAACCTGCGCCCAAGGTTCCACTACTGCAACGGCTGATGCGAGAAGTGTTGAGTGGAAGAAGGAAAGAGAAAGGTTGGTTTGAGGCTGGCTGCAAATTAATTTGCGTGCGGGACGGCAAAATCTGGGCCGGGCGCGTAAACACTTTTCTCCGCATGGGAGCCTGGCAACCTGTTTTCACCGCCGCACTCGGGTGGGGCTTGGGGGAAGGCTTGCAGTGCGTGGCGACGAGCGATTACCGCCGTCGGGTGCCTCTGCAGCGCATTGCAGGCGTTGCTACAGCGTCCCTACAGGGTATCCGCCAGCGCATTGACGACATCCATGCACCCCGATCCCAGTGCAGAGCACAGGAAAAAGCGGGCAGCGAAAATGTCCTGAGACACAGGACTCGACGTTGCCTCGCCAACGTGTTTACCTCGCACTGGGCCATGCATGACCTGCTATACCCATCCCAAACTCCCACACCCGGCTCCCGTTCTACATTCCAGCATCAACCAACCTGCATCTTTGCATCTGCCACCTGCAGTCCAAGTGTTCTGTTCGCATCTAGTCGTGTCCACGTATGTGAACACATTACTTTCAACCGACCTAAACAGCTGCAGCTCCGCCACTAGACGCAGACTTGGCAACTATTATTCCTCACCTATTGCCCTCGAGTTGGCGCAAACCTCTGTATTCTTAACGCATTCAATCGGGTATCTTCTTGCCTTTTTGTTTTTCAAAAGCGCCCAGGAGGCCACCAGCAGTGTACGAAGGAGACAGAGGCCACAGCAGCCACATTGACCGACCTCGGGCGACCAGCATTCTTGAAGGGGATTGACGCCTGAGACAAACCCACGATCAGCCATCCGCCTCACAATGGCGTCGTATCAGTACCGCAACTCTTACTATGCCCAGCCCAGTGGCCTGGAGCACAACTCCAGAGACCAGCGCACACGCTCAAGCGAGGGAACTGTCAGCACCACAGTCAGCTCATCCAGCGGGCGCGAATCAGCAGGTACACACACGACGGAACCTCCAACTTATTCCAAGAAGATTGTGGTTGTCGGAGATGGCGGGTGTGGAAAGACTTGCTTGCTCATCAGCTACAGCCAAGGCTACTTCCCAGAGGTGAGTCGACAGAATCCTTAGGAGACTTGGATTACGAGAACATCCGCTAATGCCAAAATACAGAAATATGTCCCTACCGTCTTCGAAAACTACATTACGTACCCAGTCCACCCTCCTGACGGGAAGACTGTAGAGCTTGCTCTGTGGGATACGGCTGGCCAAGAAGAATACGACCGCCTACGGCCGCTTTCATACCCTGAAACCGATTTGATATTCGTCTGCTTTGCCATCGACTGTCCCAACTCCCTCGATAATGTGCTGGACAAGGTATGTACTTTCTCATATTTCTCGATTCCGAAGAGCCACAATAGCTAACATTGTCCTCACTAGTGGTACCCTGAAGTTCTACACTTCTGCCCTTATACCCCGCTCATTCTCGTCGGTCTCAAGTCAGACCTACGTTATAAGAAGACCTGCATTGAGATGCTCAAGACTCAAGGCCTCACACCCGTCACAACCGAGCAGGGTATGGCGGTTGCCAAGAAAATGAGCGCCCAGTACATGGAGTGCAGCAGCAGGGAGATGGTTGGTGTTGATGAGATCTTTGAGCGCGCCATTCTCACTGTCGTGGCCAACGACCGCAAAAATCTCGAGGCCAACGCCGCCTCGTCAGCTCACAAGAGCGGCGAGGGCAAGTCGTCGATTCCCGGCGTAGGGGCGCCCAAGAGGAGGAAGCGAAAGTGTCACATTCTCTAAGGGGGGCTCGCCTCCGCCACACACGACGGGATGGCTTCGACGGCAGAGGGACGCTCTTGTAATGACCAGTGCATGAAACGACTTCTTGATTTTTTTCTCCTTTTCTCCCCCCTTTTTCTATTTTTTTTTTATCTTATTTTATGGCGGAACTAGAACAACCTGGCGCATGCCTTGTTTCTTGGAGAGAGTTTTGCTGCGCATTGCATCTCGAGGAACAAAAAGAGCCCAGGAACACACGAGGGTATATAGGAAGGGATCTTTTGGTCTGCGGGGAGTCGAGACGGCCTTTTGAATTTCAAGAGCGGGTTCAAAGGGGATATAATCTGGGGCGTCGTACTCGAACCGACAGAGCATGCGGATGGATATGTTTTAGGTTCTTCTTGAATTCTTTTTCTTTTGTAGTATCATGGTTGTGTTACGTTGCACTTTATTAGGGATTGGGATAGGAAATACAGCTGATTTTGTTTTGCGTCTATAACCTTGACGACCTCGCACTTCCAAGAGGCAAATAAATCATGTTGACCGTACTCCTTCCTGGCCTCATTCACGCCTTATTGTGTATGTCGTTTCGTTGGGCTGGATTCGCCCTTTCAAGTAGCGTAAATCGAGAATGCTTAAATATTTCTTGTCATGGTAGTCGTTCATTTAATCGTGATGTCCTCGTCCATTTCCTCATCCTCGTCTTCGGCTGCCGCCTCCCCTTCCAGATGGCTGTCGTCGTTGTCGTCGTCGTGATGCTGCTCCTCCTCCTGCCGCTGCTGTCCCTCGTCTGCCCTGGGGCCGTCCTCGTCCTTTGCCATTACATTCTCGAACTGGGACCAGAGTGCCTCGACCGACGAGAACTCATTCCCAACCTGCCCTCCCCCCCAAGATCCTAGTCAGCGTTCCAAAAACTTCCGAGTTGCAAGTCGTAGAATACGAGAAGGGGCGGGAGGGGCTTGGTCAACTAACCGCAATCACGGCTTCGAGGGATCGGTTCAGCTTGTTGATGTTGGCGAGCACATGCTCGAAGCTCTAGCAAGCTCGTTGGTCAGCGGCGTGAAGAAACGGCGGTCGACGGAGGGTCTAGCACGAACCATGGCAATCTCGCCAATGAGGGCCTCTCGCTGCTGTTCAAAATACGTCTTTTCGCGAGACTCCATGTTGAAGTTGTCGAGGTTCGGTTGGCGGCCGTTGATTGATCTGCCGCATGGAACGCGGCTGAGGTGGGGGACTGGTCGCGTCAAGCTCTTAGCCGCCTGTAGCCGCAACCCTTTGCTCCATGCTAAACAGAAAGCATCCGCCACCAAGCACATGGCGCCAAGAGGGTTTCTTTATGACTATTTACGTTACTAGACTTGTTCTCTTCTTTCTTTCATTCTATTTATTTATTTATTTATGGTCTTATTTTTACTCAACTCACAAACGAATTCTTCCGTAAGGACCAGTATCTTTATCCAAGATCGACTTCCAAAAGCTACAACAGCGCTGTAATATGGCCAAAAGTATATGTTCGTTGCAGAATTATCTATAGCTAGATGTGTTTCAATACCAATACTCGATAAATACCATTTGCCTGGAATGAATGCGAAGAACCGCAATGCCCAATGTCATCATCACCTGCTATGTGTGCCCAAGACAAATGAACCCTCGATCCTTGCGCCACCTCCCGGTAGAAAACTGCTGTACAACCTCTCAACTTGAACATTACATAGAAAGCATGGGTATATATGTGCATGCCATGCCGCGACCGATAGACGAACGTTGTTATAAACTATACTCTACAGGAGAGAAAAATAAATAAAGAACCAATAAAAGCTTATTATAAGGATAGGAGTAAAGGCATATTGAAATCATTACCAAAAGAGTAATGTTGTAGGCAATTGACAATCCGTGGGCCCAGGAATCACCTTCCATACTGATCCATCCGTCGGTCGTACTCGTGAGGTCGAAGACCATGCGCCACATCCCGAGGGTCTCGTAGCTCTCGGGGGTCTCTAAGCTCTCGGGGGTCTCTAAGCTCTCGGGGATCTCTCAGGTCTCTGAGGTCTCGGGGGTCTCTCAGGTCTCTGGGGTCTCTCAACTCGCGAGGGTCTCTCAACTCTCGAGGGTCTCTCAGCTCTCGAGGATCTCGGTGCTGAGAATCTCGGAGTTGTAAATCCCGCGGGTCTGGCCCAGAATACCCTCCAGGGCCTTGTGAGGGCGGAGGTCCGCGGCCATCGTAGGGAGATGGTGTATAGCTTCGCGGGGGAAGTTCTCGAGGCGGTTGAGGTCCGGGTCCTGGGCCTGGAGTCGATGCGTACCGTGGATAAGACTGCGATGACGGTGGGCCCGGGTCTGGTCCTCTGGAGGAAGAGGGTGGAGCGTAACGGCCCTGCATTTGATGTTGTTGTTGAGGTACCCCACTGGACGCGTACATTGGCGATCCGCGCTCGTCTCTCAAACCGGTAGAGTGATGCGCCTGCTGAGGGGGGGGAGCTGTAGCCCAAGAGCTTGTCGGTCCATTGACTCCTGAGGAGCCAGGGTGTTGAGGAGCCCATGACTGCTGGGGCGGAGGTGGTTGGCTGCTCTTTGGGCCTTGAGTTGCCCAGTTGGATGGAGGGGGCTGATGACTAGCTGGTGACCATGAGTCTCGGGCACCTTGGGGTACCTCTCTTCCCCTCGAGGCTGAGTTATGTACCCCATACTGAGGGGGTGGAGAAGACGCATGTGGTGGTGGTGCTGACCCATACGATGTAGGATAGCCTTGACCCTGGTATCCCATTTGGGGCTGCCCTGAAGGTTGAAAGCGATGCTGATGCTGAGGAGAGTTGCTTGCGCTGGGCTGGTGGCCAGCTTGGTATGCGTGCTGTCGATAGTAATCTTGATCTCTCAAGGCTGGAGACTCAGAGCCTAAGCCCAGCGCAGAACGGGGGCCACCTGAGGCTTGTGGTTGAGACGAAGCCGCGTAAGTAGGCTTGAGAGGCGGCATAGCAGATGCTGGTCCAGGTTGCGGCCTGCCATAAGGAGAGTACGGAGGTTCTTCTCGGCGTAAGGGTGCCGGTTGAGGAGCTTCTCTTGGCGAAGGTCGCCCCAATGTCTGGGGCGGAGGGGTTGGCGAGGGCCTGGAAGACTGGCCGGAAACGTCGCTCATGCGCTTGGGCGGCGGGGGGTCATCGTTCAATAGCGACATAATGCTGGATGCCTTGCGAGGCTCTGGAGGTCTAGGAGGTGCGGCAGCCGGTGTTGGTGGTGCAGACTGCGCTGGAGCTGAGCCATATACATCTTGGCCAGGGCCAGCTGGCATTCTCTGCTGGAGCACAGAAGGCGGCCTAGAACCAGGAGGGGCTAAGGGTGGAGGTGAAGACTGAGCTGGAGGGGCATCACTTAAGATGCTTCGCACTGGCTGTGATCCAGCCTGCAAGGGTGCATAAGCTGAAGGAATCCCATGCCTGGGTGATTCATGTCTGAGTGGCTCGTGCCTGAGTGGCTCATGTCTAAGTGGTTCGTGTCTAGGCTGCTCATGTCTGGGTTGTTCATGTCTGGGTTGTTCATGCCTGGGCGGCTCGTGCCTGGGAACCTCTTGCGTATGACGGGGCAGAGCTAGCGGATCATTTCTTGAAGGAAGCGTTGGCGGACGATGACCAAACGGCTCGTATTGGCGTGGGGAGAGGGGGTCTGCTTCCGGTTTGATTCTCATCGGTCGGCGGTCTTGTTGCCGAACCATTTCCCTCTCCCTCTCCCGCTCTATCCTATCACGCTCGCGTTCACGTTCGCGTTCGCGCTCCAGCTCTCGCTGCTGTAACTCCATTTGCTGCCTCTCGGGGCCCAGTTCAGGCTGTGGTGGCTGCATATGTTGTGCGGAAGGAACATGTCGTTGCTCTCGAAGTTGCTCTCGAACATCCTGTGGAGGGATGGGTTGTTTTGCCCCTGGCAATGCAACACGTTGAGGTTGCTCCCTATCTCGGTCATGAAACGAGAATGGAAGAGGGGGCGCTCTCAGAGATCGAGCACCAGGAGACATGACTGGGGGTGGTGGCTGAGAAACTGCTGGTTGCTGCTGTATTTGCAGTGGTTGTTGACCACCTGCTGGTACAGCTTGTGCCTGGGCCTGGGCCTGAGCCTGAGCTTGGGCTTGAGCTTGGATTTGAGCATGAGCCTGGGCCTGTGCATGGGCTCGAGCCTGGGCCTGTTCCTGCGGTGTGCCGTTGATTGGGTATCCAAACGCAGGAAAAGTTGGTGGTCTGCTGGGCTGCACACTCGCTTCGGTCTTGGGTTGGGCTGCCTCCGGCATCAAATCCACATTGCCAGGTGCAGGGACAAGTGGTCGAGATGCGCTCGTACTTCCGGAGCTCTCGTATCGTCGGCCGCGGCCGCCACTGGTTGGCAGTGGCGGCTCGGGCCGCTTCTCGCCGCGTTCTCGTTTTGCGTCTGCTTCACGCATGAGCTGCTCCCATTCGGGTTTCCCGTGATCCTTTTGTCGGACGAAATAGTTCTTGACCTATGATACGAAACGTCTTGATTAGCATATGTTGTGATTGGTACCTGTTAAGTGGCAAATACTTACCATAACTGCCGTCTTGGATCCCATATGAGCAGCAATAGCTGCCCAATCAGACCCGAATGCTCTAAGTAGAAGTGGGAAGTCGTTGGATTCGGATACACTCCAATAGCTTGACGCTTGTGTCGGAGCCTTACGCTCTTGTTGAGACTGTGTCAGGTTGAATGTAGCCATGGCCGGCTGTGGAGGTGGTTGCGGGGGTTCTGGGCGCAGAGAGGGAGCTGCGATAACATCTGTAATTGAGGAACCTGTAGGCAAAGCCTGCTGGCGCTCCATAGTTTGGGGTCGAGGCTCCTGCTTTGGTTGCTGAACAGAAAAAGCATGTTGGACTCCCGGATGCTGTTGCTGCTCAAATTGAGGGGGCGGGCCACGACCTTCAGTAGGAGTTCCTGCCTGAAATTCCATACTGTGCCCCTTGTTATCTGACCTTGAGCGTGATCTGCCAGTCGACCCGGGTGCTGGAGCAGCAGCCAGAGCTTGGTTGGATTTGGGTTGCTTCGGCTCCTTGTCCTTGGATGCTTTTGATCTTCTGCCTCTCCGACCATCGACTTTTTCTTCCCCCTTGACAGAAGCACCACGCCGGCCAGGAGTGCTGACAGGGGTGCCATTCTCCGACTCTGTGTTGAGAGGCTGTTCGAAGCCCCAAGTAGGAGCTGCGGCTCGCCGAGGACGGCGTCTGCTCTCCCCGTTCTCCCCATTCTCGTGGTTCTCCTCCGTCTCTGGTTCGCCGTTGCCAAGTTCGGATACGAGGGCACTTGACCTTTGCTTCCCTCTGCCCTTCTTACGCCTCTTAGGCTGTCTCCTGAGCTTCTCCTTGAGCTTCAACTCTTTCTTCATGAGATAATAATACTGAATGCATGTGCCGAAGTCACGATGGGGAATCGTCTCGGCAATTCTGCCCCATTGTTTTGGCACCTCCAGATATCGTTTCTCAAAGAGCTCAACTTCTTGCTCGGTGAAGTTGTTGACTGGAGGAAGAACATGCCATGCCGACGCAAGCTCGCTTTGGTTGACGAAACCTGACCGGTCGTAGAACTGAACTCTAGCCTTGTCTTCCGCATCCCAGTACATGTCAGGTATCACAGCCTCCTTTTCACTACGATACTTCTCTTTCTGGGCTCTTAATTCACGTTCCCTTCTTTCATCCTCTTCCCGCATCGACGCCTGTAAGACTCGCTCAAGATCACGCTCAGAAGCAAAACGCCTACCACTAGTTCTCCCTTCAGGCTTGGGCTCTGGAGTTGCAAGCCCGACAACTTCGGTTGACGGCCCCGAGACAGAAAACTTGTCACGACTCTTGGCAGCAACAGGATCAGTCGACAACGTGAATTTGAGGTACTTGGTGTAGCTATCGGCGTACGCTTGTTGCCCCTGCGTCGTCTCTTTGGTTTTGGTAATATGCATATCCTCTAAATGCCCAAGAATGAAATCTTCCATTCCAGTATCTGCATCGAGTGATGCAAGGTAATCGCTGTCCTCGTGCCATGGTCCCACAGTGGGTTGTGGAAGGCCATCAATCGGGGGTGTGACGTTGTACCTTCGCGTCGCAGCAGGGTCAAGATATGCCTCGTCCTCAGACTCTGTTTCATCGTCGTCGCCTTCGTCCTCGACCTGCGATGGCGTGCTAGGAACTTTCACTTCAGTCGCTGTAATTTCCATGAGAACGCTTGGAATGGTTTCTGCAGACGGGGCAGCAGATTCCACGGGAGCATTGTTGTCAACGTTCTGGGCGGGTGCTGGGAGAGGAGACTTCGGACCACTCTGTTCGGGCGTTACTTCAGGAACAGCCGGGGCTGGCGGAGGTGTTGAAGGTACCGAGGCTGATGGAGCAGGTGGTGGTTCCTTGACTTCAACACTGTCAATCTCCATTTCCTCAGATTTCGGCTCGATTCGAAGGACCTGAGTCTCCGGCTTTAGAGTGCTATCGCCTTCCACTGCCATGTTCTCGCTAGCATCATCTAATTGCATTGCCGTGTCCGTGCCGGGTTCCGGAACGGGCTTCGGAGCTGAGGGTTCCTTCACCACGGGGACTTCCTCTGCCATTTCAACCTCTGTAGAAATTACCTTCTCCTTTTGCTCTGCATTCTGGTTCTTGGCCGAATCCTCGGTCTTGGCCGCATTCTCAGTCGAAACCAAGTTTTCCTTGACAGGAGAGGACTCCCTTGCAGTCAACGATTCCTTTGTGGCCGAAGACTCCTTTGCAATCGATGGTTCCTTAGTGGTGGGTGGTTCTATTGCGACTGAGTGTTCCTTAGCAACCGAGGGTTCCTTAACGACCGGGAGTTCTTCTGAGACCGAGTGTTCCTTAGCCACTGAGGGTTCCTTAGCGACCGAGGGTTCTTTGGCAATAGAAGAATTCTCAACAACTAGGTCTTCCTTGGGAGCCGAGACCTCTTGAGGAACGGCCTTTACCTTGGCCAATGCATCTTCCACCACAAGTGAGGTTGCCTTGGCGGGTGGCTGTTCCTTGGGAATTACTGGTTCTTTTGGTTCGCTCACGGCTGGCTCTTTTAAATCCTTGACAATTGGTACTTTCGGTTCTTTGGAAGCTGACACATTCGGTTCTTTGGAGAGTGGTTCTTTGGAGGGTGGTTCCTTGGAGGGTGGTTCCTTGGAGGGCGGTTCCTTGGAGGGCGGTTCTTTCGGTTCTTTGGAGGCTGGTTCTTTCAGTTCTTTCGTAGTTGGCTTAACGATCAAAGTCTCCTTGGCGGCTGCGCTCTCTTTGGTAGGAAGGGTTTCCTTAGGAGCCACTGGACCCTCTCGACGAACAAGTACTTCCTTTTTAGGTAGGGTAACTTCCGGTGCTGGGATGCTGCTGGCGGGTGTCGGTGTAGTCTCAATCTTCTTTTTCGACTTGTGAAGCTCCTCCGGTGCTTTCCCAACTAAGCCTTCCAGGTCGTCCCCTTCATTCAATATCTTGACCATAGCCCCGTGGGAGATTGCAGCATAATGCGCCACTACTTCCATCGGAAGGATTGGCTTTTGTAACGTGCTCAACACAGCCTCGGTTTTCTCGATCTGCATAGCAAAATAGTCGCTCATGTCCTCATCGTCATCATCAGAATCCCAATCTTGATCTGGCGCGGCTTGAGGTTTCGGCGGCAAGGCAAACCGGACAGCGCGGAGATGGGGTCGCTTTCGCTTCTTCAAATTGCTCTCTTTCGGTCGACTTTCTTCGTCCTTGGGATAAATGCCATTCATCTGTCGAGCTCCGGGCGATGTAGTGTAGTTCTCTTTGTCCTTTGTGTCGTCGCCCTTGATCGATAGCGAGAGGCGTCTGTATTCATCAGATCCGGCCACCATGTGCCAATCGTTGTCAGTTTTCGACATGATTTCACCGGGCTCTGCACTGTAATGGGATCGGTTTCGAGTTTCCGAGTCAGCAAAGTCAGAAGCGGCTTTCGAATCACTACTTTGAGGCCTCCTGTCCGGCAAACCTTGGTCTGAGGGCATACTCTCCCGTCGTGGAGGGCCAGTTCGTGGTTGCGTAAAGGTCTGGGACCTCATGAGCTTAGGCGAATCTGGAGCTTTCTTCAGACTAGGGTTAATCCATTGCTTGCTCGACGGGCGCTGGACCTTCTGCTGTTGTGCTCGGGGCCCTAAGGGAATTGCTGGGCCTTCATGGGGCAAGGGCGGCTTGTTGGCGGGTCCAGTTGGGGCCATAGGGGGTTCCTGGCCAACTGATGGTCTTTGTTCACCGAACGCCCTCGGGGCCGTTGGAGGAAGCTTGCCGGTTCCTGCGATGCTCAACTGGCTTTCTCCAATGCTTGGAGGGCGGTTTGGCACTGACCCGAAGGCCGGAGCAGACGGTGCTACAGGAGGAGGGGATACATCCCGTTTAGGAGTAACGGAGTCCTGAGGGTTCCCACGGGCATCTAGCTTCGGACGGAACAAATCCACGGGCCTGTCTCGCTCATCACGAGGATCTCTGGGGCGCATGTCCGCATCAGGATACCTATCGCCTCGTTCTCGCTCATCCCGCTCGCGTCCCCAGCGACCTTCCTGAGATCGACTTCTGGGGTAACGGTCTCCACGGTCGTCGAATGATGCTCGTCCACGGTTCCGGTCGCCCATCCAATCTCCTCTTCCACCTCTACCACCCCTTCCGCGAACAAACGACCCACCACGTTGGAGTGGTGGGGGTCCGAAAGGCGGCTCGGATATTGGCGAGCCTCCTGACAATGGACCGTCCCGTGAGTTGCGGCGCGGTCTGTCAGCATCAGGTCCTGGAGGTCCATCTCGGTCTCGATCGCGGATAAAGTCTCGTATCGGGGAGCGTGCTCTGCCTATGGGGGAGCGCCGTGAGCGGTAGGGATCGCGCCATTCTCTCTCCCGGTCTCTATCCCGTTCTCGGTCGCGTTCTCTACTCCTCTCGTCGCGAAAGCGGTCGCGGAATTCAATGTCCCTGTCCCGACCGCGTTCTCTACTTTCATCCCGCGCAGGCCAGCCACGGCCTCTTCCACGACCACCTCTTCCCCTGTAGTCTCCAGAATAGCCACGACCCCGTGGCTCAATCAACGCCCTGGGACCTCGAGGAGGCTCCCGGCGAGGACCATCTGCAAAACCATCACGGTTTGACTGGAAGGCAGTTGTGTTCGACCTAGCTTCATTAGACGAGCGCCTCCTGTCAGCGTCAAAACGATCACCAGGCGAACGGTCTCTGGGTGAGAGAGACCTGCGGTCGTACCGCGTGTACCTAGAGGCCCTAAGCAACGAGATGATATGTTAGACTGCGCCCTGGGAGATGAGGGTAAGAGAATGACGAGGGGGCCGGCGGGACGCATAAGCACACGTACATTGGTGGTAACAGGCCAGCAGGCTGGGCCTTGACGGGCTTCGACCTCAGCCAGCAATCCCATCCAGTCGTGCAACGGCGCGCGACTCGATGCGAGCTGGCTCCTTATCGAGACCAACACCGGAATCGCCTTCGAAGGGGGTGTGCAGCGCGTATTTCTGGGCAAGGAAAGGTCGGCCAAAGGGTGGCTAGCTCCAGGGCAGATGGACTTGGTGGATGTAGCCTTGAAATGCAACACGGCGGTTGCGGGCGTCCACCTGGGCGGATGGTGCGGTCAGGCGGGCAAAAAAACGGGAGTCTTGGTGAGGTGTCGAACTCCAGGCGTGGCTCCTCCAGGGGGCCGGCCGTGCAACCGAGTTCCGAGGCCGTCCGGATGATATGTACGATGGTAGAGTCCCCGACGGTTTGAGGCGCAAGTGAGTTTGGGCGGATGTGAGGGAGGGAAGAATTCGAGATGCAAAGGATTGGATAGAACGACTGACCCCGGCCGGCCAGTCCAGCCCAAGCACCGGTGCTAAACCACGTTCAGACGCGCCAGCATCTGAGACTTCGGCTACTCAGGACTGCCCCGGCCACTGGGACATTTGATGTAGGACTAGTGTGGCTGGTGCCCCTGCAGCCTGGAGGCCAGTGCCTGTTGCAGCGAGTCGCGCCCCACCTGCCACCACCAGAAAAATAAAGAGCCCTGGACCACCCGTTGGCAGAGTCAAACACAAAGCCTGTGCCAATCATTCGCAGTAAAAAAGCTCGATGGGGCAAACTGCCGGCGCCGTTCTGGAAAATATGACAGGTGCCTAGCATTAATAAGTAACACTGGATTTCTAGCGAATGTCAAGAGACCTAGCAGATTCTTGCTCCACGCCAAAGCCTGTTCTATAACACCAAATATACCTACCTACCTTTCTCCCCTTCCCAGGACGGCTATTCTTCAAAAGCAACACTAGGTAGCTTTTCTCGTTATCATGACCAACGATGTGAATCCGCCTCCTCAAGAGGCTGTAAACGCCCTGCCTGATGAGACTAGAAATGCAGTGCTGGTTCAGTCCGAGGCCATGCCAGAGGGCGCACCAAAAGTTGAGGACTTTGATTTCAACAAATTCAAAGGCCGGCCTATAACTGCCGAGGATTTGTTACTAGGCATGCAGAATATGGGGTTCCAGGCTTCTTCCATTGGCGATGCTGTCAGGATTATCAATGGCATGGTAAGTCCTCCCCCTCATTGCCAACCATCCTATCCTAGCTATACCCAGGCATCTACGTGAAGGGGAAAGAAACATGTTGCTAAATCTCTGGTTAGAGGGAATGGAGAGATCCTGAGACGGGGGACAAGACCACCATCTTCCTAGGCTACACCTCCAACATGATCTCATCTGGCCTCCGTGGCGTCTTTCGTTATCTCGTGGAGCACAACCACGTCTCAGCCGTTGTCACAACAGCCGGCGGTATTGAGGAAGATTTCATCAAGTGCCTCGGAGACACCTACCTTTCCAAATTCAGCGCGCCCGGCTCCGAGTTGCGCAAGAAGGGCATGAACCGCATCGGAAATCTCGTCGTCCCGAATGCAAACTACTGCGCCTTTGAGGACTGGGTTGTCCCCATCCTGGATAAGATGCTTGAAGAACAGGAAGCCAGCAAAGGAACCGAGGAGGAGATCAACTGGACTCCGTCAAAAGTCATCCATCGCCTCGGCAAGGAGATCAACGATGAGCGCTCAGTCTACTACTGGGCTTACAAAAACAATATTCCCGTCTTCTGCCCTGCTATAACCGACGGTAGCCTTGGGGACATGCTCTATTTCCACACGTTCAAGTCGTCTCCCCTCCAGCTAAAGATTGACTTGGTCGAGGATATTCGCAAGATCAACACAATGTCTGTTCGTGCCAAGAGGGCCGGCATGATCATCTTGGGCGGTGGAGTTGTCAAACATCATATCGCCAATGCATGCCTAATGCGAAATGGTGCTGAGTCTGCTGTCTACATTAATACCGGACAGGAGTTTGACGGGAGTGATGCCGGCGCACGGCCAGATGAAGCAGTGTCTTGGGGTAAGATTAAAATGGACGCCGAGAGTGTCAAGGTGAGACAAGCAGCCAACCCCCAAATCCTACACGTGGTGTCTGATCGACTCTTGTTTCTAGGTATATGTGGAGGCTACGACCTGTTTTCCATTAATAGTTGCGAACACATTTGCGAAAAGTACCAGCGGAGCCAACTGAATACCGTAAATAGAAAGTCAATTCAAGTGATGAAATGGATGCATACTTTTTTCCGCCCATCTAGTATGTGTATGTCAAAACGACAAACCGGCTTCAGATTGAAACGACTATTTCGAACATTGCCTGCCGAGGGGCTTCACACCTAAGTTTCACTAAACCCCTGCTTGTCTACCTCGGAGGCGGATAGCCCTATGGTTGAAACCTAGCAATATCTGCTTGATCATTCATGCTTAATGATTGCCATTTGCTTGGCCGTTGAGTTTTTCGTCGCCATTGGCCCCATCTTTGCGTTCTCCGTTGCCGTTTGTTTGATTGTTGAGTTTTCCATCTCCATCAGTTTCCTTGGGCTCATTGCTCTCACCCCCGGAACGGCCTTGGACCTGACAGTTCAAGCCCTCTTTACCATCAGTCTTGCCATTCCCTGCCTTGTCCCACTCACCCCTTGGGCGGGAACGCATCTTGTTAGCCAGTCGTCTCTTCTCCTTCCTTTCAAGCTCCATCTGCTCCTGTTCCATTTCCTCCCGAATCCTGACCAGGTCGAATGGTTCCTCCCGCATAGCCTCGATCGCCTTCTGGCCTTCGTCCAGGGTTGGCCAATTCGCGGCCGCGCCTCCCTTCCTGGTGAGCAGCCAGTCGACCACATCCCAGTTGTCGTGTGTTCCGTCAGGCCGCTGGACAGTCTGCGCTCCCTGGTCCCATAGTTCCTGGCAATTCTGAGCCCAAGGGGCTGGTAGGTGGCTGAAATCTGGGATTCCTGATGATCGGATCGCAGTGGGTGGTCGTTTCTCTGCTTGGTCGGCCATGCCAGTCTCAGGGCCGGCGGCCTTCTTCTTCAGTGAATCCTCTCGCTGCATCGGGATATACGCTTGAAAGCGATTTCCCCTGGGGTTGTGGCCAGACATGATCCTCAGTGGGAGCCGACGTTTGCGATGCGAATGATCACGAAGAGACTGAAATAGGTTGCTTTTCAAGTAGGGATGGTGTGATGTTCTGCTTGAGGTGAATAATGATCCACGTAGTCGGTTGCTTTTTGAATGTGTGCTGAGAACCAAAGGTTGATCCGGGAAGTGTATGTTTAATGAGTTTTGAGGAAGAAGAACCACGGTCGACCCTCAGAACTGTTGTGGGTTATGTTTTCTGCAAAAAAGCGAAGAGAGTGCAAGGAGATGCTGTGAATCTATTGTCTCCGGGACCTGAGATTACGTTCACCTCTCCTCGAGTTCTTGCGGGGGTGTGAAACTAAGAGAGCGCACTCGCGAACAATGTGGCGGAGTGTTTTGATTCAGTGCTGGTTTGTTCTATCACCCTGCGTGTGAGCCAATAGTGAGTGTGCTCTCATCCTCTTCTCAGATGGCAGGTACCGATCAGTTACCACAAATCGGCGTTCTGCCTGCCGGTCTCTTGCGCGCAACCAGAATCCTGGCGAACTGGCCCAGAGTCATGCGGGCGCCCATGGCTCCATGGCTGGTACAAACTCGGTGCTGTGTTACGATCAATGTGCTGTGTAATAGTGACAAAGTACAAGATCTGAAAATTCCTGCAGTTTTGTCCCTTTGTCTTCCTTGAGTTTATAACGGGCACTAATGTATTGCTGACAACAAAAAAAGTCTGCACATTGCAGAACGGTAAGATTTAGGCAGCCTTCGAGGAGGCAACACTCGCGTTCAATTAACCTTCCAAACGAACCGAAGCCACATTTAATTCCACATCGTCCAAAAAAAGAACTCATCCACAGTCATAGCTGAAAATGCTGGTCTGTTGGTACTCAGATGGCTATTGGCAGAACAACATCGAAAGGGTACAGACACAACAGCCTAAGAAGACAAGACAAGCCCCAGTCCCCCTCAGCACTGTCTCGCAACAATTTCGCCTCCAACATGAAAAGCTTTCTGGTTATGTTCTTTCATTTTTGGCCAATGAGTACTTTGAAGCTCTCCAGGGCAGCAGCCCAGTCGTCGGCACCATCATTCTCGGCCCACGTGCCCACCTTATCAATGCCAGCCAAGTCACCACCCATATGACTCTCGTTTGTGGTACCATTGAGTATAATGAGACCCTCCAAACCCAGAACCAAGGCGTAGTAGGCTACCTCCCGGTCTACGCCAGCGAGTTGGGCCACGTCAAGTACTGGGGGGCTTTTAGCCAATTTCGGGTTCGCAGACAGAGTCCAGAAAGATTGGAAGATAATCCCGTGAGAATTGCAGAATTCTCGAAGCTCCACCTCATACGCCGTCCCGTTGTAGAACCGGTTCTGCACCACGGCGGGTTTGACTTGGGCCTGCTCATGAAGCATCTTCAGTGTGTCGAGGTCAGTGTTGGAGATGCCCAGGTTACGAATGGTGTCGGGAGTGTACTCCTCCAGAGTTTTCCAGACAGCCAGGGTATCTCCAAAATCCGCATATGGAGAATGAATGACGACGCTATCTAGGTATGGCGTCTGGTCGTCGACTTTGAAATTCTCAAGCGAGGACTGGAGCGACTGCCTGACTTGCTCTTGGATTGGCGAGTCAGTAGAGTAGGGCTTAATTTCGCTCTGCCCGTTTGGAGGCGTGAACTTGGTTTGGATCTTTGATGATTCTGTTAGCATGCACTGTCTCCCAAGCTGAGCGCGGGGGAGACACCCACGAAGAGATCTTGTCGCCTCGCCAGACCTTCCGTCACGGCTCTGGCCACGCCGCGGCCAACAGAGGCCTCATCGTAGTGTTTGGGCTGGGCAGCCGTATCAATACCGCGGAACCCATTCTTAATGGCTTTGTACACAAGGTCCGCCGTGCGGTCTTTCTTCCAGGCGGTACCATACACGAATTTGGGGATCTGGGTTACTGCTGACGACGATCTCAGGGTCAGGTCTCGGGCCAGTGCCGAAGCCTGGGTCCCAATGCTCGACTGTGCCACCGCCATTGGATGCTATGGACCAACAAGTTGTATCAGAAGCCCAATCGGTTGGTTGGTTGTTGCACATGTGGCAGGCCAGGGGTTGGCGAGATCGAAGCCAAACCGGGGGTGGGACCGGGTCGGATGTCGTTACGGAAATCCGTTAACCAACAGCTTGAATCCTGTACTAGTTTGGCTCCGTGTACGGTGCCGGAGATAATTCGCGACCAAGAAAAGTTACGAGGCTGGAGTATCGGTGGAAGAATGATGCAATCGCGGAGTTACTCTTTTTGCCATTACCAGAGAGCGAGGGTTCACCGCCCTACACCACCATCATTTTAACCTACAGGCCTCCCCTATTCAGTATCTCTGATAGCTAAGGTAGGTACCTAGGCGATTTTCTTTTCTTCATCTCCTCCTCCTACTCCTCCCCCCAGAGAGAAAAGATGTCTGGAGAAAGAAGAGATGTGGAGAGACAATTCTTCGGCAGGTCATTTTACCAGATCAGGCTAATAAATGTCCTTAGTATGGCTTCGCCGTTCACCTTGATGGCCGCTAACGGGCTTGAAGCCAAGGGCTACATTCGCTTCTCCGATACTAGGCAGATCAAATGGGGGTTTATTTCGCCGTATTTCTGCCAATTCCAACATAGGGCCGGCCACTACCGTAGCTGATAGGCAGTGGCCGGTATTATCCCCTCACCTCTGCATTCGGGATAAGGTAATTAGGGGAGGAAGTGCGGGGTAGCTTCTGCCCACCCACCACCAACGTCACCAATCGAGGTCACTATCAAGTTCCGTTGCCTGGAACTTGACTACTATTAGATTTGCTCTCGTTCCAGTTCAAGAGACCACGTCTTGTTTCTAGCCTAGAAGAGTAGGCCGCTCAACCTAATCTTAGAAAATTGACCACCTTAACTATTCCTATTCTGCATGCCCATTGATTCCACGCTGAGAACCTGAACAACTCAATCCACCCTCCCTCTGCTCTAGATCCCGAATTAGTATCCGGGCAACATTTGCCCCTCTTGCCTAAGCTGGTGCTGATCGGAATTATCGGCCTCGCTCATGATCTGGTTATAAAGCCCCCTCTGTCCCCTGGTGCTCCGAATCATTCGATACGCAACCCACCTTGTTTCTTCCTCCTCCTCTTCTTCCCTCAAACACCTCTCAGAATCTCTCCAACATAATTCCACGATGGCAGCTACCAGTCCATACACTGTAAAATGGGGCATCATGGCCACCGGAGGAATTGCTGCCAGTAAGTGAATACCAACCAATGGCCTGACCTATTACTTCTCCGAAGGCTAGATACTAACGCCATCATTCCTACGAATTAGCCTTCTGCAAAGATATCCTCACCAACCCAGAGACTCGAGGTGTCAGTGATGTTCGCCATGAGATCGTCGCTGTCTCATCCTCCAGCTCAAGCGACAGAGCTGCGGCCTTCATCAAGGGCATCAAGGGTCCCAGCACAGCCAAGCTCTATGGCTCTTACCATGAGCTCGTCGCTGACCCCAATGTCGACATTGTATATGTCGCGACCCCTCACAGCCACCACTTCCAGAACGCAATGCTTGCTCTAGAGGCTGGTAAACATGTGCTCTGTGAGAAGGCATTCACAGTCACAGCCTCGCAGGTGAAGAAGCTTGTGGAGAAGGCCAGAGCCAAAAACCTGTTTCTGATGGAGGCTGTCTGGACTAGATTCTTCCCCTTGAGCATCAAAATCCGAGAGCTAATCACAAGCGGCGCCATTGGTACAGTGCACCGCACAATTGGTAAGTTATCTCTATACCACACACGGCCCTAGCGGGTTTCCATTCTCGATAGAGATATAGGAAAGTTGAGATCTGACAAAATCATGGCATAGCCGATCTCAGCTTTAATTCAAGCCAGCCTGATGGAAACCTTGAATTCCCCGACACCAACAGGATGGTCAATCTCGACCTAGCTGGAGGAGCTGTGCTTGACCTTGGCATCTACTCTCTGACCTGGGTGTTCCAGACCCTCTACCATACGCAACCTGAAGCCCAGAAGGAAGCTCCTCTCGTTACTGCTGCCAGCAACCAATACCGAACAGGCGCAGATGAGCAGACCACCATCATCTGCCAGTTTCCTCAACACAAATCCATGGGTATCGCCCTCACTGGCCTCCGTGTCGCCACTGACCCCGACGGCCACAACACCGCAGGACCAGCCATTCGCATTCAAGGGACAAAGGGTGAGATCCAGGTTATGGGACCTGCCTTTAAGCCGGGACAGTACAAGGTTATCAAGAAGGACGGTGGAGGCAAGGTCGAGGTTGTAGAGTGCGATTATCCTAAAGACCCCGCCCGCGATAACTGGGGTCACGGCATGTACTGGGAGGCGGATGAGTGCGCCCGCTGCCTACGTGATGGAAAGCTACAGAGCGAGAGTATGCCCTGGTCGGAGAGCATCACGATCATGGAGACGATGGAATCGGCGCTGAAGCAGGGTGGCATTACCTACCCAGACCTTATCACCACTGATGTATATGATCCCCAGAGTCCTCTGAACACCGGCAACAGGTAGATAGCGAAAGTCTAATTAGCCAATTCTAGCCACAATCAAACTATTTGAGAGGGCGTCTTCATCATATCAAAGCTAGAATCATGACGATGCCGCTTAGTCAGCTCTATTGTGTCATTCTCTCGCCAGGTTACTTCAGGCTTTCTGTCTTCTAGATTGCGGTGACATTTGGTCAAGGAGTCAGATATTGTCATCAATTTCCGGAAAGAGAGTACGCCGAAGAGTGGTCTATGTGCGTCGCGACTAAAATAAGACACTCGTACACTTCTCCACGGGTGTAAGCTGGCTATCGGCGATAATCACGATCGGGTGCTTGCTTTCTCTCCAACCGCCAGCTTTATGCCTCTGGCGTTTCGGGTACTTCGAAACCAGACGATGCAGTGATAAAACTCCTACACTTGTGGGGTTTGGTCTTTTTGCATCACAGTTCCTGTGATAATGCGCCTGCCTACATGAAGGGGGGATGGGCTGAGTAGCGCAGGGGGCAGAAAGGGGCACAAGGGCGTGAGTCGATGAATCCGCCGGGGAGAGTGAGAACCAACCGCCAACGAACATCCTGGGTGGTAGCTGACATGTTCAAGCGAGCGAAAGGACCTATATCCGTGCACTCACCATCCCGGGATCGTAGAGGTTCCTTTTTCCTTCTTTTTTGTCTCGGCCTCTGCTTACCCTGTCCTATACATGCCAACATATGGTCTATTCATACCCCCGGCCCCCCGTTCAGGCAAAGAGTCGATGCGTTGTCACGTCCGCCAGGTCCATGACTCGCCATCTCATTCAATCAATGCCATAACCGCCCGGATATGAGCGCTTGCAATGTTCATCCTTGCGCTTCTATCCTTTCCTTTCTCTCAGCCCCTGGAGCGTATTGACTCGACTGGCGTACATCCATATGGAATGTGTCTCTTCGACGTACCCCCCCGTTCCCCTATTCTGCTTACCCCTCCCCTTCACCTGCACAGGCCATGTGTGTAATATGATATTCATGCTCCTGTGCGTTCGTTCAGCTTCCTCCCTGGCCTGGCCCCGATCCTCAAACCATCCCATCCAACCAGGCCAAGCGAACACCCCTCCCCCAAACGGGAAATTTCATCGAGACTAGCTGGCACCGTGCATTAATGCATGTCATTGCCGTTCATGCCCCGCGGATCGGTTGTTTCGGACTGAGCTATACGCATGTCTTCTCGTAGCCTACGGGCAGTCAAACACGCGCGCGCACATACCCAGATTATCTCCGCGCCATATAGGCGAAAGGGGGTCTCGTGTGTGGTTTTTCAGCCATATTCGTCCATGCGCTGAGCGAAGAGAAAGAGAAGAATTCTCGCTGTATGTACATTATCGTGCCGGGCATCGGGCCAGATGGCGGCCCATCCCATCGCCCATCTCATCTCACCTCCCCTCCTCATCATCATTCACCCACACACACGGGCTCACACACTCTCTCGCGCCTTGCAACCCCCCTGGCCCAAAACACACCTCGTAATAATTCGCCCTGTTAATGTGGGAAGGCTCTCCCTCCCGTCCCGAGCCCGGGTCCCATACCGAGATTACGCGGAATGACTGGCTCTCATCCCTTGCACGTTGTTCGTACTGTGCGTTTGGGACTCGGACGATAAGCAAAATCCACCACATGCTTTGGGGGCCAGGCGCGTGACAAAAAACATGACCCATATAAACAATTCATACAGAGTTATCCAACAATAAGTATATAAATTAATTTAAAATAATTATTCCAGAGCTCTTTTAAAGTAGATACAGCCTGTTAATTTTAGTTTATTACTATAGTGGCAAATTATTGTAGGAGTTGGATCTGAAAAGTATAGGTTTGTGTATACTGAGTGTTTTTTTGGTGGTAACCCCCTAGTTTACGCCTAGTTTACGTGGGCCATGTTTTTTGTCATGCGCCTGGGGGCGCACATGGCGGTTAATTAGACAGTCAGCGCCGAGAGGGCTGAGTGAGACGACACTCGATGAAGCAAATCTTAACCTCCCATGTAAAATTTTCTGGCAGGATCCTGCCCTCGCGTAGAACGTTCGCAGATACGGGGAGCGACCGGTCAGTTGTACCAGTTACAAGCTCAACATTTCCTCGACTAAGAATCTGTCTGCAACGTTGACCAGCATCTGTTTCAGCCCTTTGGGGGATGCTATGCTCAGATTGTGGCTTTGGCTGTTGTGTGAATATCAAAGTCCCTTGCCTAAGGTGTTTCCGTACCCCACATCCCACTCAACTGGGGGTAAAATCTTTTTACAACTTGGATGTATACTGTTGTAAGAGTTCACGATGGCGATAAACTCATTTATCTATGATAGCTTCTAGATGTATTATAATCCATGCTTTCTTATGGTTTCTGTCTTTTATTTACCGTAATCTCGTGAAATTTAAAGCCCCAAGTCGCAACACAGAGTCAAAATTTGAGTCAGTTACCCCACTTGTCAGTGCAGCAACTGACGAAGTTGAGTCAACTCAAACAACAGGTAAAACCTGCAGCAGGCTCCCCAACTCACATATCCCAACGGGTCTCAAATTTTAAAAACAGCCCTCTCATCTTCTCCCAAACACGGGGAAGAAGCCCCCAGCCCGTGAGCATGGAACAGCCACAGGTCTCAGAGCACCAGCCCGAGGCCGCCTCCTCAGGCGCCGCCTACGAGGACACCCACGTCCACGCCGTGTACGAGGCCATCGCGCCTCACTTCTCTGCCACCCGCCACAAGCCTTGGCCCCGCGTCGCCTCCTTCCTCAACGCCCAGCCCCCGGGTTCAGTCGGCCTCGACGTCGGCTGCGGCAACGGCAAGTATCTCCCCGTCAACCCCCGCCTGCACCTGCTCGGCTCCGACCGCAGTGCTGCCCTCGTCGACCTCGCCCGCGGGCAGCCCGTCGGCCCTGGGCTGGGGAGGGCAGAGGTCCTCGTCGCCGACGGCCTGGCGCTCCCCTACCGCCCCGGCGTCGCCGACTTCGCCATCTGCATCGCCGTCATCCACCACCTCAGCACCCCGCAGAGGCGCCGCGACAGCATCGCCGCCCTGCTCGAGAGGGTGCGGCCGGGGGGCACCGTCCTCGTCTACGTCTGGGCCCTCGAGCAGGCCAGCAGCCGCCGCGGCTGGGACGAGAACAGCCAGCAGGACACGCTCGTCCCCTGGGTCATGAAGGGCCCCAAGGGCGACCCCAACGAAAAGGGCACCACCTACCAGAGGTACTACCACCTGTACCGCGAGGGCGAGCTCGAGGAGGACGTGCTGGCCGCCGGGGGCGCGGTCCTGGAGGCGGGCTACGAGAGGGACAACTGGTGGGTCGTATGTAGCAAGCAGCAGCAGCAGCCTGGCGATCCCTGAAGGGCTCTCTTCCAACCCCGTGTCTTCAATCCTGTCTACCTTACTCCAGGTCCCGTGAGGTTTCGTTGTGGAGTCCGTAACCCCAGCCCGATAGACACCTTGCACTACAAACATTTCCAAGCCAAATTCACGGCATCAGCCGAGGTCGCATCATGTGCGACTCGGTAGTATGGGCTTGTCACCTCCTCTGTGTACGCCAAACATGGACTTGACCCTCCTCGTGGCTGCTGATCCGCACATGGCTCCCTCTCAGCCTCGGTAGTGAGCTTCCGAGCCTGTTAAACGGCAATCATGGGGCCCGTAGGACCCGGCTCAAGCAACCACACCCAACATCCCTTGGAACAAACTTGAAATTTCCTCGAGCAAAGAATGAAATGACGGGCCTGTATTCAATGTCTTCTATTGAATTTCTGGGGGAGTGGGGTACCGTTGTGAAGTACATAAACATAATGCATATATATAAGGTAATCTTAGGTAGTAGTTATCAGGGAAGTATCTCTTCTGTCATTCAAGGCCCTGCATATCCAATGCGGAACTTATTTTTTATGTATCCCCCCTTTCCAATGCGCCATTCAAATTGAATCCCACCCTCTAGTAGTATTCCCCAATAAAGTTCACATCCAACTTGAAACAAACTAGTAAAAGTCGTCCAACAATTGACCCGTCTGGGCATCCATGCCAGTACTTTGATCTCTCCCTATACCCGGCCCCGGTATTCGCCATACAAATGCAACAATCCCCACCCGTACATGTAGATAGAATGTCGCTCGTCGTGAAAAGGAAAAAGAAAAACGTCAGTGTTGCCCTGTACCCATGCCCCAATGCAAGCTCCGTGCTTGACCTATCGTGAAATCTTCTACTCCCAAAACGTAAACTTGCTGTGTGCTCATCCATCTCTTCTTCTTAAAACTGAAAGAAAATAACAAAGGGGGGGAATCGCCCCAAAAATGATGCTAGAAAAGTAAAACAATGTCGCTATCATAGAGAGATATCAAGAAAAAAAAGTTCGTGTCCATCATTCCGGTATGATGTTCGTTTATTCCATTCGTCGTCTATGGTGAGCATCTCGAAGGTTAGGATCGGGACTGGCTGGCCGTTTTGATCCCAGAGGTTCATGCACGGCGTACCCGACTCCAGCGGGCACAAAGGTGGGATGATGAAGAGGCATCGAGTTTGGAATTCCAATCCCTTGACCAGGCCCCGGCGCTCCACTGTATGGAGTAATGCCGGTCGTCAATTCCGAGATGCTGGGCAGCGAACGCCCCTTGGCAGGGAAGGCTTGAGATTGGATGGGTGCCAACATTGGCACTTGAGCATAGCCCATCTCCGGTTGCTCCTCCACCATTGGTCGTTGCTGTGGCGTAAGGGGTTCGCGACGTGATCCAACAGTATGAGCCCTGGGCCGTCCTGACACTGTTTGCGGGCTTCGGCCATACAAGTTTCGGTTCGGTGCTCCTGTATCGCCGTGCATGCCTCCATGGGGATGGGTGTAGTGACCTCGGGAAGGGGAGTTTCGACGAGCGTTCGCGTTAGCCTCGGCGTTGACGGCTGCCAAAGAGAAAGGCACCACACCCGCCCGCCTCGCCATATCTGTCTCGCCAAGTTGCCAATGCATCGCTTCAGCGGCACGCCAAGGGACAGCCAGTTCTTCGGCAACCTTAGCCCACATGTCTGCTTTAAATCTATTGTAAATCGTTAGCAAGGCAGAGTCCTTTGTGAAGTGAGCCAAGGGGAGACAAGTGTTGGGTCAACAGATAGCACACATGCTTCCAGGTTTGGTGTTAGTATTTACCTTTCGTAAAGTTGTGCAAGCTTATCCTTGCGCTCCTCGCTCCATTCGCTGCGTCGTTCCAAGTAGTTCTGATAGTGAAGCCGGCAACTGATGGCACTTCTTCCTGGTAATTGTTTCGAGATATCCTCCCATTTCATCCCCCGGCCCCGCAACTCAATGATGAGAGTATCCTCCTCGGGTGACCACTTGCTTTGCTTCTTCGCAGGCTGATCCGACACTTGGGGCGGCATGCTTCGCCGTGCGCTTGACTTTGCAGCCGGTGCTATCGGGCGTGATACATGCGGCGCCAGCTGAGGCGGCTGGTGCTGTTGCTCTAGCAGCTGCGGCAGTTGTCCTGGTGAAGTTGAAGAAGTCGGAAGTGGTACTGATGTGGGTCGCAACTGCCTCGAAGGAGAGACGGAGGACTCATCTGAGTCGGGGCCGTTTTTAAGTAGAGAGGCGATATCCACGTTGACGTTGACGGATGCCGCGCCGTAGTAGGAGCCCTTGTCAGCATGGACCAAAGAGGCGCGTGGAAAGTCGATGCAGCGTCCGGCCACACCTGAAGAAGGCAACGACGACTCTGCCTGCCAGAGGCAGAGAGGTGTCTGGCTCTTGATTTGAGCCAGCTCGACGGTTGCCTGTTCGGCCCGTCTACGACTTTTGTTTATCCTTGGGGTGGTCGGTTTGTGAGAGACCACGTCGTTCAAGCTCCCTAGTGTAGCCGGACACAAAAGGGGCTGTCACGATAACGAGCTCAGGTCTGATAATAGGGACTTGTTGTTAAAAAGCAGGAACTGGTTAGATCCAGTGGTGATCTCCGGTTTCCTGGGGCAGAGGGCGAATGGTGGACCAGAAATGATGGCTGAGACTTCCGATTGCCACTCGAGGCGTCCAGGTACAAGATTCAGACGAGTCGGGAATGAAGAAAAGAGCGCGCTGTGTTTCTCTCTCCAAGTGTTGGCGGTGTTATTTTGTGAAGGGGCCTTTCTCGACTGTATGATTGGATGCGGTCCAGGGTGTCACCCACCAATAAACGCAAGAGTCGGTCTGTGGGTGATGGTAGTGGAAGCGTCTACGACCGGGTCTCAGAAAAGATAAGCAGGACGCCTTTTATGTAGGAGACCTTGGGCAGCAAAGGACGGTAAGGTATCTAGAAGAAGGAAATCGAAGAATGGAGGTATAAGATGAGATCAGACAAAAGAAAAGGAAGCACTGGAGCTAAGTATGGCCAGGCAAGGCAGGCTCAGGCGAGTTGAGATCCGCCCCAGGGACAAGACAGAAAGGACCCACGTCGGCAACTAATTAGCTGGGTCGATGTGCAGGTGTGATGATTCCAGGGGTACAACTAAAGAAATGAAATGAGAAGGGAACGCCCGGGTCAGTGGTTTCAATGGGCTTCAACGGCAGAGTTGGCGGAAAGCGAGGTGGTGCAGTGGGGGAAGGGTTTTCAGTCTTAAACTTGGGGTCCAATTGAGAGCTCGACACCGACCAAGAACCCAGCTGTACAGTGTACCTTGTTACATGGATCAAGCCGGCATTAGAAGGGCATAACCCACGTCCATTGACGTGAAAAGCCATGATGACTATATGAAGAGTTTGGGGCGGCCGAGGACAGGGGAGGGGTGGACCGAAGGATGGGGGTGAGCCTGCGCAGTGACAGAGTGACAGAGCTGAGAAGAAAGCAGAAAACGTTGTCGTGTAAGACGCGGCATGTGGATCCTGACTATACGGGTGTTTGCCATGAGGCAGAGAGGCCAGCCATAGGACCAGAATAACCCAGACGTGTGGCTGATGACATTTTCCCCAGCCGGCCGGTTGGACACGCAAGGTACCAATGTGAGGCATGAAGATGATGCAACACTCTTGATGCCAGACCAGCTCAGGAGAAGGAAGGCATTAATGGAGCCAAGGCCAAAGCAAAACAAATTGAGCAGCTCACAATGCTCTGCCAACTGCTGGCCCCCATCGGCCTAGACCCCCTTCTTTCATCGATACGACACCTCGCCAGGGACACCCATCAGGCCTCAATCACAGCCATATGATTTGAGTTGGGACTGCCACCTCCTGATCTTCCCACCTCTTGCGCGCTTGTCTCCGATCCTTTGTTCGTGACAGCCAGAGAGCGAAGCGCCTAAAATGACGGTCGAGGAGGTGACAGAGGAGGGGGAGGGGTGCGCAAATCGGATGAAAGAGAGGGGGTGTGGAGAGGATCGCAACCAAGAGACTTGTAACAGCACCTGCTGCCAACGCATGGCCACGAAGCCATGCATAACGACACGCGCAGTCTTCAAGGCGGTGTTGGGGCGCTGATGGAGATGCTAAAATCTCTGCCTCGTCGCTATTTCCCTCCGTCTTCCCACCCAACTCTTGCTCTCGCGGGCTCACCTCAAGCCCAGCACCATGGAGTGCCCGTGCCTGTGTGCTATCATGGCGAAGCGCATTAATGGCCGCGAATTAGAGTTGGGCGGAAAAACCGGGGCGCAAACAGTCCTGTCCTGAGCACGGGTGATTGGTAAAGGTAGCTTGTAGGTACCTACAGGCTGCTTTGCAATCAGCGTCATTGCGTCCGAGGGGGGATCGCTATGCGTGTCAGCTGTTCGTGCGGATTGGTCGCTGCATCTCGACAGGGTCTGTGATCGATAATGTCTCAACAATGCAGAGTCGCGGATGGAAAAAAAGAAGGTTCAGCGACGGTTGGGAAGGAGGGGGCAGGGCGGCAGAGCGTCTCTGGAAAGAACCCGGCCGGGTACTTGCCACTACCTCACAGCGCTAGGTGCTGTACCCAGCGTAATATCGGTATGTCACAGCGGTATAATTAGCCCCCGGGATAGACGAGGTACCCGGGTTTCGGGGCTGAAGTACCTCAGCTGTAGCCGAGTCTCAACCCACCACACAGGCCAGTCGATCTTCGGTGGAAAGAGCACCAGCCAATCACGGCCGGCGTCGTTCACCCGATGCCTGAAGACCAGCCCGGTCGCGGGCTACTTTAAATACCCACCGACCTGCCTAGCACCAGTTTGACGAACGCAAGTTGCGACGGTACAAGTAGGCTAGCAGCTTTTAGTAATGTTTGCGGTAAGGTATGTGATCGGGCGGGAAGTTGCCGTGGCTTCCTCAGCCTCGTGCCAGCTTAGGGCTATCCTATGATACGTCTGAAGATCAGCTGTAGCAGGCGCCGGGGCATTGTTTCCCACCTCCACCACCTCATCACCGCCTCTGCTTCTTTCTTTTTGTCCCGTCCATTCCATCCTTGCATCACCATAATTTCCCTCTCCCAGCGGTTTCTAATAGTGCGACAGCTTTTGGATGTAGTACCTCTGTCTCCATGAGGAACCAGCCCCTCCCCCCTGGTTCATGATAGGGCACATCCTGGGAAATGCCCTGGACAAAATGCTTGCGGCAAGCGTGGAGAAGTCATGCTGGTGGAGACATGAAACTGCTACTTGATGTGATGCAGCGCTATTATTACAGCAGTGTCAGCGATGCTCAATGCCGCTCATTCTTCTAATTTACAGAGATGAGCTAGCTACTCAGTCAGCTCGAGCTGTTGGAACCGCACGGGTGATCTGGCTGCCGCTAATCTCCAGGTCCCTCCGATGTCAGCACTGCACTGTTCTGCAACATGCGTGTGCGTCAAACGATTTGTGTCACAAATGCTATCCACCAAAAAGACTCGTTCATTGCTACCTGCCTACCGAGGTCTTCAGGAGACTCGAGTCCCGTACGGCCGTGCCACTCTATACGGGGCCATAACTCACCGGCATCCTGAGGCTCCCAGCCAGATGACGGATGCGAGCATTTTACAAATTCTTACATCACATCGGGAATAGGTCGTGTCGAGGTCCATAGGGCTTTTTGTGACATACTGAATCTGGAGCTTTCTTAAGCCCGATCTGTTCAGGCAGGCGGCCAACGTTCTCCCCAAGACCGACCGGAGAATAGTTAGTCTGATTTTCTTCAAGGGATATCCTTGCCGGCGACTGATGAGCTGGCAATTAAGCCTGTCAAGCAGGGCAAGCGCACAGTGGCGCATAGGCATGCTTCTTCCACGTCTCGTCCCTTGTTTTGCCTTCCTAGAATTAGGGAGAAGGAAGGGTGTAGCATGGTGGTGTGGATGCGTTGTCCATTCTTGCACCTCGACCAGGGGCAGACCGTTCGTCCGCGCAGCCCATCAGCCACGAACCATGATCGGCCGTTCTCCAGCGACTACCACACCCCTCGTGAGCGTTATTTCATCAAGCATTGCCTTGGCCTCTGTAGGTTCCGATCTTCCGGGATGATCGCAGAAGCATGTTCGCCGGCTTCTCATGGAACCTATCACCTGCTTACCTACCTACGTGGTCGCGTATCCATTGAGGGGGTGTACCGTGGTAGCAAAGGCCCGGCCGGCCCTGGCCATCAAGATGATACATAGCTATGGAGTAGAGTCGTCGAGGAGTGGTGAGGCGGCGCGCAATGATTGGAGATAGGCGCCGGCCCGCCTCCGGTTCATCAGCCATCGTGCTGCTTGTCCGTCTTCCTCCCCGACTAATGCCATGGCCGCAGAGGCATCTCCAGTATCCAAATCGCGCGCCGTGTCCTGAGCCGGTCGTACCTTTCCCTACCGGCCCAACCTGGCAGACAAGCATCTCTCTGCAGGCGGTAATGCAAGTAAAGCCCCGAGCACCAGGTCACTTACTCCCTCGGTTCCAACCTCGAGGCTGGTGCTACCACCCGATGAGCGCACGGGTACTCTTTCCGCAACCCAGCCGGCTGGCTTGCTTCCGCATTGTACCTGTTTTGCTTCTGCCACCAGCCTTTTCATCTTGGGCCTTTCATAGGCGGTTACTCGTCCAGCTCCACCTGCTTTGTCGACAACACATTCATATCCATGAACCGCAGCATGTAGCATCCACCCCTCCAGATTCCCAAAATTGCCCTAGGTCAAGTGAGCAATCCAATATGTGCGTAGTCCCAAGCCATCTCAGTCCATTGGCGATCTAGAAAACCAGGGCCCAAAAAAAGCAGGATCTGTTACATCTGTGCTAGGAATCCATATCGTCACTAATTAAAACGTTCCCACAACTACTCTCTCTCCTCGTTGTTTCCTTTTACTTTCTCTCATTTTCTTTTCTTTTCTTACTATTCGCTTACTTTGTCCTAGTACTGTTTCCCCTTCTTGTCAATTCCCCGCTTTCTTTTTCTTCTTCCCCCTCCTCATAATCTCATCCAGAGTTTGAGGTGAATAATGCACCACCACGGCTTGGCGTGGCTGTTAACCCCATGAACAGTTGCTGCGCTGGCTTGCACCCTTCCCAACGCCATACCCCTGCTCTTCACAATGCCTCACTTCCAAAAAATTTACCTCATAGGGCGACGTCATGGTCCGATCCGCATCAAGACAACTCGACAGATCAACAGGCTGTGGAGAAGCTTCGACCGGTGAGAGAACTCTACTATGTACACCCCTCGGGGGGG